TGTTCATCGCTATCCTTCTCGAGACATCGATTTTGGTCGGCGGATTCTACGCCACACCGTATCTATCCTGGGTCACCGCAGCTTTCCTGAGGGTCTGGGGTGCAGTGTTGTCCGCGACATACCGCTACTTCCGTCCCAATAAGCAAGCTCTGCCACACCCAGATATCTATGAGCAAATTGCAATTGACGACTACGAAGTCGGCGATGATAACAGCGACTCCGTATCGCTGCTGGATGCTCCTCAAGATCCGCCTGTCCCGAAGAATCGAGCATTGCTGAAGCCCGCTATCGTCGTATCGTGCAGCGCAATTCTACTTTTCCTCCGTGTCGTTCGTCCCCACGATATGGCTTACAGTTTCCTCTCCGCATCTTTACCTCTCGCGCCATTTGGTGGCCTCAGGTTTGGGTCTTCTCAGCGAACTGTTGCATCGTTGCCGGGCGATTACAGTTGGCTAGAAGGAAAAACTGCTCTAGACTCCTTCCCGACATTTGATTGGTTACATACGGGCGATGCGGCAACTGCCTGGCCGGATTGGTCTCCCTTCCATATAAATCACTTCAACACCACCGACCCCAAGGACTATGTGTATGAACACTACAACCCGATGAAAGATCCTTTGCACATTCCCAACCTTCAGAACGACATTTTGGAGCCCATCCGTGATGTGCTCCACAGCGGAGATGTCAAGATCAAGCATGTTATTCTTATCAAATTAGAGAGCAATCGGCAGGACGTGTTTCCCTTTCGTTCCGACTCTTACATCATGGAGCACATCAGAAAGTCTTGGGACGGGAAGATCCCCGACGAGGTTATGGATAAACTTGCCAATCTCACCCCTATTGCCGAAAAGTTCACCGGATTTGAGACTGGGTTTAAGAACAAGGAGCGTCCAAAGCCCTATGGCGGCCTTAGTGCGAAAAATGCGTACACATCTGGTACATACACTATGAAGAGTATTACAGGCACTATGTGCGGTGTGAGCCCCATGGCCGTTCAAGATAATCTTGAGTATTTTCACGATATTTACCAGCCTTGCCTGCCCCACATATTTGACGCCTTGACCCAGCAATCAAACATCACTAGTGATACTGAGGATTGGACCTCCTGGCCGTGGTATTCTAAGTGGATGCAGTCCCACTATGGTACCTGGGACCACCAGGAGGACCTTACTCCTACCATGGGATTCAAAGACATCACGACAAAAGAATCAATCAATGAAGCTGGTGCCATATACATCCCGGAGGAGCCTGAGGATGAGCAGAAATATGGTCATCCGGATCACACACTGAAGAACTATATGCGGGATGCATTTGCCGAGGCCAAGAAGAATAACACTCGCCTCTTTATCGGTCATCTAACCCACAATACCCATACTCCTTGGTTCAAGCCTGGTGACTATGAGGATTACTTCGGGAATGGCGCTGGATGGAACGATAAGTTGAACCGGTATCTAAATACTCTCAAGTATCAGGATGACTGGCTGGCTACCATCCTTGAAATCCTCGCTGAGGCTGGAGTCGCCGATGAAACTCTGCTTGTCATGGCAGGTGACCAGTAAGTTTTGCTCATTTATTGCAACCTATCAAACATTTTATTAACTTGATTATAGTGGTTTATCTCTTCCAAATGACGGTGGTATAACAGCCAATCACGACCCCCACGTCGGCAGTTTCCATGTTCCCCTGCTCTTCGCCCACCCCAAGCTACCCCCGGTCGAAATCAGCGGCGCCGTCCTCTCGACTCAGATGCTTCCCAGTATTCTTGATATGCTAATCGAAACCTCCAATATCAACGAACAGTCATCACACATATTGAAGGACCTGCTTCCCTTATATGAGGGTCAGTCGTTGCTACGTCCACTCATTCCTGAGCAGGACGAGAAGGAAGAATGGCATTTCTCTACGATGAACCCTGGAGGAACCTGGGTCTCCATGCGAGCAGCCGCGAAACCGTACCGTCTAGTCGTCCCACTTATCTCGAATGCCCCGTGGCGATTCAGCAATGTTGTCACCGATCCACTCGAGTTCGCTGCCGAAGAAGACCTCGATGTCGTGACTCTGTTTGATGTTGTACAGACACGGTACGGACCCGAAGCCGCCAGGTGGCTTAGCGAGGCCGCCCATGTGTCCCAGTGGTGGATCGCGGAGAATCACAGACGCTGGAAGTATAGTCCTGACGACCCGAGGCCTTGAACATCCATCCGGCGACATCATAGATTCAGCCAGATGCAGAGAATGCAAAGAATTTGGTGCTATGCTCCGATGAGGCGTTTGCCAAAGGGTGACGCGAATCCAGCCGGACATGTCCCGGCACTTGCATATATATACATAATACCCGTGCCATGTTCTGCATGCAGCACCGTTTGTTCCATAATGCACATAACGGCCGTCTGGGGTTGTCGATTCCCCAAGAAATTGGGCCCATCGAGAAGACCTTCAACCCGATTACACAGAGTCAGTCGGATGATCTCTTTCATTTCTCCGCCTGCAATTTTACGATGCCTTGTTCGATTTACTAACGCCATTGTTCATCTGCCCGCAGCGATTTTTGAACATCGCAGTGCATAGCGACCGGTTGGGACTTAGTCCTTTTTGGCTTTGAGGACTCACCGCTTGTACATATCTCTGCCTTCCTCGATGTAATTTCTCGCGTTTTGAAATAATACCCAGTTCAAATTATTGCCAAGGCTCGCGTGGCCTGGCCACAGTCATAATAACAACATTGCAGCCCGTGATGCCATTTCTTGGTCGACGCCTGATTCCTCCTCTGATTGGCAATCTTGTATACCGAGTGCCTGCCCACGACTTTGAGGAAGGGTGATAGACTCATTGTATGGAAATGACAAGTGTTACAGGGCTGGTGGGTTAAGGGAATCTCACTGTGGGTCTGCCTTTTATGCTCAATGTCGAATACCAAGTCCGAATACATGGTAGAAACCAGGTATTATACCGGAAACATCATGTGACGTTGGGTACCAGGCATACCATACAAAAGTGCATATTACAGTTAGTCATCAATGTCCGCACCCACCCAAAAACACATAGTAAATGCGATAAATTACAGCTTGATACCTCAACAACGGCAGTTTATATAGAGATTTCGTTGTAGGCTAATGCTTTTTAGGTAATTTCTAGCTTATCTAGGGAGTTTTGAAAATATATATAACTTCGTGATTACGATATATATATTCCTAGCTTTCAGCACTATAATTTTCAATACTCTAATAATGCACCTCTTCGAATTTTCTTAAGATTAATATATAGTATTTAGAATCCTTATCGATAGTTATCGATATGCAACGAAATCAAACAAAAAAGCGGATATTAAGATATAAGTCTATAGAATATCGCATTTACTATGTGTTTTTGGTGTGGGCGGCTCGGTGGTGTGGACGGCGGCTCGGTAGTGAAATACGTTAGTTATAGAGTCGCTGCTATTATTAAGTAGAAGGCACTTATAAAATCAAGCCTTACCCGAGAAGACCTCCTAGACCCTACGAATCAGCCAAATCTTATACTAGACGGCGAGGATCTAATAACTTACGTATATAGGAAACGTCGTTTAAAAGCTAGCGAGAGATCTAGAGAAACTATACAGCTAGTTAATCTCTATCGAGACGGTAGGATAGCATAGCTAATACTGAGTATCTCTAAAGGCTGAAACTGCCAAAAGACCTTCTCAGCTTCCTCTGAATGAGCTAGAAGTTCTACTATCTCTTGATCAATGAGCTCTACCAACATAATATACGCTCAGATGGTGGGTCGGCCCTTTAATGGCACGCAAGTCGTGGGGACGAAACGAAAGTAGCACCGAAAGCCCAATGCTCGAACTGGAGTCGGAGTGAGCAACAAAAACCGAAAGCTACAAAACACTAAAGGATGTGCGGATTGGAAAAAGAACGGGAAACTAGAGTCATTTCTGGTATAAGCCTCTGTCCATGGCACTGAAGCATTCGTCCAACAACACAGAAGCACGACGACCCAATCATTGCGAAGTCGGTGCAATTTTGCCTCAAATTTTGTATGGGATTTTGGCAAGTCACCGACCTTTCTACCGAATATACTGATCCAAAACCTTCAACATTGATTTACACACATTCAGCCACCTTTCTATATAGCATCCTCACAGGATGTACAAATTAAGCCAACATAGTCAACTTATCCATGGCAACATAAGTCGCCGCATTCTTCAAGAAGTCTGCTAACGCATCTTGGTTCGCCGTGACAACGACTGGGGTATACATGGCAATAGCTAGAATATCATTAGTATGCAATGTAGTTTTTTCAAGAGACACAGGTTTGAAGATCACATACTAGTAGGGTCTTTCCATGTTGTAATTGCCTGGTTGGTGTAGGTTTTTGAAAAGAGCCAAGGCGGTTGACACTTGTTGATCGATATCGGCGCTTACGATCTGCTTGAACGCTACAAGAAAGGATGCTCATATTAGAGAATTCGAATATTCTTTTGACAGATATAATGAGAGGTATAGTGTATCATGTTGTTTCGAAGTATAGAATGCTTGTATTGTGAATTTTTTCTACTATTCGCCTAAGGATCGCCTCTTGTGAATTAGGGGGACTAACATTGAAGTACATCGCCCTAAAATGGCGAGCTATAATAACGGGAATGAGAATAGTACTTGAGAGCCAGATTGGTGCTGATTTGATACAGGACAGTACAGCAAAGCCCTGGTGGCACCACCAAACTTAGGCTCCGCTCGGCATATGTCGGTCTTTGAAGTTCTTCTAGTTCCAAACAAATTTACACCCTGCACAGAGTGAGAAAATAATCACTATTGCTCAGCCTCCGGGAGGGTCTACAACCGAGATTGCTCGTCCACTAGCTTCAATTTTGGGGTCCGTAGCAAAATTTCAGCAGAGCGCAGGATCCGGTGATCGGAGGTAATATCTGGGAGGAGTTGGGCGAATGGGAGAAACTTGGTCGTGGTAGGAAATTATGGTGGTATTGAAATTTAAAACACATCCAAGCCAACGACAAGATGTTGATCTCAGTTCCTGAGATTTCTGCTGGACTTCCAAGAATAAAGACACCTATGGCCTGGTATATCTGGGGTGTTGTGGCCTTAGCTACGAGAGGCGTGGCGGATAGCGTAAGCATTCATTCCCCTGTGTCCTCTCATCGATTGTTCTGACCAGACAAGTTCTTCAACAACACGGATTTCACTTCACCGACGGCCGATCTATCGACCGCCTGTGCGACAGCGCTTCAGGCGTCACTGGATTGTAATCCCTTCTTGACCTATGTTATGACCAGCAACTACTATACATCCGTTGGGAACACTACAATCCAAGATGAATTTTGCAGCACAGCTTGTTCTAGTGATCTAGCGAGCTACCGTGATGATGTCGCGACGAGTTGTGCCAATGATCCGCAGCCCTTCTCTGGGTATCCCGCGACATATTGGGCAGATTGGGCTATTTCTGCTTTTGACCATGTGTGTATGAAGTGATTGGGGGATACTTCCAGAATCAAACCGTTGAGTCGGACGGAACCAACCTCCTAACGGACCAATTGTGCTCCAGCTGTGTGGTTTCTCTCTTCAGCTTAATGCAGAGCACCCCTTATTCAAACTACGATCCTACCTTGGCCAACATATGGAGTAAGATCCAGAGTCAATGCTCCTTGAGTCAGCCAACTGCAGTGCCTGCGCTGGACACCAACTTGACGTAGCCTGGAGGGTTTGCACTACCCGGATATTCCACATCTTCTGCGCTATGTCTCTCTGGGATCACATATACTGTAGTTAGTGGTGACGGCTGTGAAGCTATCGCCAAGAATTATGGAGTATCGACAGGCACACTTATCGCGATCAATGATCTCTATGTTGACTGCGCCAACTTAGGGGTAAGCCAGGTAGGATGGTTTTATCTACTCTATCTATGGTATTCTGGGAAGCTAACATAAACGTGTATTTGGTATTTAGGTCCTTTGTATCCCGCCCCAATGCACCACATATAACGTGGAGAGTGGCGACACCTGTAACATGATTGCGAATAATACCAGCACCAGCTTCCAGCAGCTTGTAGCATGGAATCCCTCCTTGGGTTCATACTGCACCAATCTGCTGTCTAGAGAGAATATCTGTGTCAGTCCTCCAGGGGGTGTTCAGAACCTGACCACCATTGCGGGTGCCACCGCTACCCAGACGGGTATCTATGCAACAACCACTGCTTCTCGACCGAGTCCCGTTGCTACCGGAACGAAACTTGACTGTGGAAAATACTAGGAGGTCCAAGTTGTAAGTACTGATTGGTATTCTTCACTGTTAAAGCTACAAATGTTCATTCAAAATCACCAACAGGGAGATAATTGCCAGCTTATCTCGCTCAATCAGACCATCTCCCTTGTCCTTCTGGAAGAGACCAATCCTGATATCGACTCAACCTGCTCAAATCTCGACCTTGGCGTCTACTACTGCATCCTACCTACAGAGGACTGGAACGCAACCGTGACCTCTACAATCGTCACTGCCCCGACCACAACCCCCGTCGGAACGACCTCTGATTGCTACCAGTGAGTTATTTGCCTCAACTGCCATCCTCTACTCCCATTAGATAAAACTGACGACCCTTACAGATACTACGTGATTCAATCTGGCGATTACTACTCCCTCATCGAAAGCGAATTCGACATCACCATGGCCCAGCTCCAACTCTGGAACCCAGCTCTCCTTTCCAATTGCTCCAACCTCGTCCTTAGTGAATCTTATTGCGTCAGTGGCGCCGAACAGGCGTCCACCTCCACCCCGACGACTGTATCAGCGACTGCTACGGCTGCGGCAAAAAGAGATATCTCATCCCCGGCTACTACAGTGCCTCAAACAACGGCGAGTTTCCAGGCTGGTGGGGTGCCGTATAGGTGGCCTGGGTTATAGGCGCCGAATCTGGCAAGGGCGTATACAGCGGCAACGCAAAATTTAGCCTAGTTGGGGCGAGGAGGGGGATGAAGCGACGACAGGGAGGTATAGTGGGATCAACAGTTTGAGATTGATATAGTGTTGCTTCACAGAGCCCCAATTGGACATCATAAGCCTTTACTGTTATTCACAGCCTAAGTAGAGTAAAAATGCTACTAGTAATAACTCCAATTATCTGCCATCATGAACTAAAGCCATAACTTACAATTCCTCGTAATGGTGCACCCCCCACCAATCACTCGAACACCAGATATCATTCTCATGACGGAATTTCGTCGTCAGTGTATGCAGATCCATCATCTGCAACGCGACAATCGGGTAAAGCTCTTGTAAGACAGTCTCTACAGCCACATTAAGATACCCCTTGAATTCAGCCCCAGCCACATCCTTATCACCTAGGCCTAGCAAAGGTGGAAGACGCGGGGCACTAGTTCCCTGGGATACCGAAACAACGAAGGGAATCTTTTGGCGTTCACGGCGCGGCGCGGAAGAAGGAAGTGGTGAGGAGAGAACAGACTGTATAGAAGCTGGTGTTATCATCAGACAAGCGGAAGTGGCGAGTCCCTGTGGTAGGGCCATTTTATTGAAGTGTCTTCGTATGATATATCAGTCTAGTAAAGATAAGAATCGAGAATCAAAAATCAAAGAGACATACCTTGCCACCTCCGCTGCATCTACGCCCTCTAATCCGGGCTGTTCCACCCACTGAAACTCTAACAAATCAATCGCCCGGTCTACCTTCGCCAACGAGCCCCGATACGGGGCCAACCCCTCCTCGATCACCGCATCCCACCGTCTTCGAAACTCCGCCCACTGCGTCTCATGCTCACCCCCATAGGGAGTCGTGCGAAACACCACAAATCCCCATTTCCCCCACTCCTCAGTCTCTGGACTTCGGAAGATAGAATTTAGGGTTTGGACGAAAGGTACGAGGAGCTCCCGCTCTTGCTGTTTGATTTCCTCTGACTTGGCGGCCTCAACTCGGGCCCGGTAGCGGCGACTCATTTCCTGCATGATTTCGCGGAAACCATCTTCGCCGTGAGTGGCTTTCAGACCGTCGAAGAGAGTGGTGCGTTGGGTTTCTGAGAGGGCCATAAGGTCTTCTCCGCTAGCGTTGAGGAGCCGGTCATGGGTCCAGCCTTGGGGGTAGAAAGGCATGATTGGATTTAGGGTAGATTTTTGTTGCGGTGAGGTAGGGTATATTCATTCTAGCCAGGTGGGAAGACCACTGCGGTTGTTCGTAACGGGCCGTGAGATTCTGTTAGGATCGCATGGTTTTCATTGGGTAGTAGTAATTGTCGAATACCAAGTCCGAATACATGGTAGAAACCAGGTATTATACCGGAAACATCATATGACATTGGGTACTAGGCATACCATACAAAAGTGCATATTACAGTTAGTTATCATTGTCCGTACAGATTGTTGAAATAGCGTGACAGAAAGCTGGTGTACGAACAATGTATGGTATAGATGACCAATTTTGAAGACTCTAACTAAAATGACAAAATCTACTCTCCCTTAACTCCGGTCTAGACCCGAGTAAAGCTCATGGCGTTTTCACCTCCGATTGTAATCCGTTCTCTTCCGTTCCGCTCCGCCTTTCAACCCACCTGTTCTGCAATGCGACCGGGATTGCTTTAGATCGGGATTGTTTTGCATCGCGATTGGCTAAGCTCCACAGTAGATTTCTTTTAGAATGAGTTCTCACCAACCCAGTCCCAAGCCCGAAGGTACGCGACTGCGGCCACGACGTGCGTGCGACGAATGCCGAAAGCGGAAGCGAAAATGCGATGGCGGATTACCTTGCTCGACCTGCGTCCGTTATGAATACTCCTGTCGATATGAATATGGAAAGTCGCAAAGAAGTGCTCGAGCTGCGCCTAGTGCCTCGCAGATGACACCAGCGGAACGCTTACCACCGACGCCTGAACACACACACTCTGATGCCCCAGTCCTAACGGGAGGAGGCATTGAACAACAGGCGAGCTTCCTGGAGCGCGAGAAAGGAAGATTTTTGAGCCATGCCTCTTCTGTTTCCCAGGCAAGGTCTTTGGGCTTAGGACTTGAATTGCCTGAACCTCCACGCCTTCATTCATTTGGGTACCATCTTGGGATTCGAAAAGAACCCGAGAGCTCCTTATCAATTCGACTTCCTCAGCTTCTTTCCTGGGACCAAGCAAGTAGCTGCATTGATGTATTCACAGCCGTCATTCACCCAGTCTTTGGCTTTATGAAAATGGAATCCATCTTTCAAAGGGCCCAGGGACACTGGCAGGGCCGACTCGAGGGATATCCTTTCGAGGCAGTGATAACTGGTGTCATTGCATTAGGGTCTCTATTCTCCAATCGAATCGGGCAAGAAAAGGAGTTGGAGATTGTACTTCATGCCAAGAATGTGCTTGATGACCCTGTTATCAGCCGTCGCCCCTCGCAGGACCTAGTCGTGGCCTGGGTTTTAAGGACCATTTACTCCCGCGCAACTGGTCGACCCAACGTAGCGTGGCTGCAAAGTGCAACCACTTTACATTTGATCGAGCTCACTGGAATACATTATGATGCAGCACGACTAGCATCTTCCGCAGAGGGCACGAATACATCAATGCATGACGACTCTGATTTATGCGCACGCATCACGTCCATTGCGCAGAGCCTCCACATCATGATTGCATATGATTATGGGAAAAGTATAATACATCTTGATTCTGCTGTACATCATCATATCCAACCACGACAGGGTGATTTCACTCTACAATTATCGGAACTTACCAACAAAATCCCGACTGCAACGACTTATTCAGATCCGATTACAAATCAGGCCCAGCTTTTGCAGGCCATGGAGCAGCTGATGGCCACACCAGTAGATCATGACTTTCTGCTGCTTGCAAGGGCAGAGCTATGTTTTGCCATTCATCGCCGTCTCCGTATTTTGGGACTTGGTCTCACTAGACAACAAACCAAGCTCATAGTTGACGCAGGTACCGCGGCCCTTCCTGCAGCCCGACGGTTGTCGGCTCAACTACATCCGTGGTGGAATGTCACAAATGCACTCTTTCAGTTCGTATGCGTTTGTCTCTCGATTGGGACAACAGAGACACTTACAAATATACAACCAACAATTGAAACCTTTGAGTCAGTCATTCAGCATTTCGATACCCATCTTACCCAGGAAGCATTCAGCACATTGCTATTATTAACTAGTGCATGCCAGGGGGAGAAGGAGAAACAAGCAAACCTTCTTCGGTTAGCCAAGGGAATGCGGTCAGAAAATGATGCTCCATATCAAGGGCAACGCGGACAAGTTGATTTGGCGATGTTTGATCCGCAAGTTGCTTCTCTCTTTGATCTTTACCCCGATTCACCCTTCATTGACCTACAAACACTATTCAATATCTAAAATTACAACTATATGCCAATTTCATATTAATATCTCATAAACCATCTTCCGTGTTTGAATTATCCGCCGTGGTTGCGGAGTGCATCTTGTCATGCCGAGTCAAGCTTCGAATGACGAACATGGTCGCAACGCCAACCCCCAGACCAGCGAGACCAATTCCCATGTAGCTTGCACCCCGATAACCTCTTAGTGTATCTGTGCCGCCGCGGTTAACTTGACTTTCAACGGTTCCAGCAAGCCCAAGTCCAATCGAGATAGAATAGTTCACAATGGTATTGACGAGTGAGGCAGCAAGACCTTGATGCTCCCGTGGCATGCTATTGCTGAGGACAATTGTTCCAGATGGAAAGGACATGTCCCTGATGGATGATTAGTTTATCGACACATATCCAATATGGCATTGGGGACTATATACTTACATGCCCCATGGGGTCAAGATAGAAATTACAAATGCCTGGGCCCAGTACGTTTGATGAATAGGCAGTGTGGCTAAGAGGATTTGACCAGCCGTAAATGCAAGCATAGCGATCAACATGATCACACTGGGCCGCAACCGAGCTAGAATAAACCCGGTCGTAACTGCGGCGATTGCACCAGACACAGCCGACGGTGCCCATTTCGCAAGCACCAAAAGCGGTGCCTCTTCTTTGATGACTTCCATGAATTGGAAGAAATAAAAGACCACAACTCCAAAGCTGGACCAACCAGCCGCTATACAGCCTAGCACCCATGCAACATCCTCGGAGAAAATCTCCCGAGGTAATAAGGGGTAGGTTGCGTGCAACTCGATCCACAAGAATAGAGCTAGACACAGGAATCCAACGATCAAAAGAACGTAGACATAGACAGTCGCCCAGCCGACGCTTGGTCCTTGATTCCAAGCGAAATTAATGAGAATAAGCGCGACGATACCGAGTAAACCCCCAAGTAGATCACATTTGATCCACCATGGCGTTTGATTCGATGATTTCGGAGACGGTGATTTAGGAATAACCAGTATCCCAAAGACCGAAAAGGCAATACAGACGATTCCCATGATCCAATAACCCCATGGCCACCAAGCACTCTCAGCTAGGAGAGCCGAGAACGCACCCCCAACGGTAAATCCCCCCGGTGCAGTCGCGCCAAAGATACTAAAAACCATATCCTTTCGAGGTCCAGGGGGGTATGTGCGTCCCAGTATAGCTAGCGCATTTGGTAGCAAGAAGGCTGGCCCAATACCTTGAAATGCACGGCAAATATCGAAGAGTATTTGATTCGACCATACGGAAAACCCTCCAAGGAGAGACCATAGACCGAACCAAGCAAAGCCACCGATGAACATGAGTCTATGTCCATAGAGGTCCCCTAGTCTTCCTGCAATGAGAATGAAGGTACCGACCGTTAGGCTGTACGCGGCGGCATACCAGCTTAATTGCCCGGGATTGCTGACGTGGAAGCTATCGCCGATGATGTGAAGAGGTACAATAGCAAGGGCAAGGCCTGCCTGGGTCATGAATTGAGCCGCACACACCACGCCAATGAATATATATTCACGCAGCGAGTTCATTGGGATTTCCATTGACTGGTTGGTAATGGCACGAGCGATATCTCCCTGGTAGGAGCTTGAATCCACGGCATCAGGGTGATTTCCATTAGGCTTATTTAAAGATTTCGCGTGAAATTCCACTCGTTCATCGGACATCTTCGCAACCGAGATCCAGTCAAAGGGAGGCGATACTAGAATGAATGGAGTGTTGGGGGTGTAACGCGTTCACAGACTGGATGGATATAAAAATTCTTTTGCAGAAGGAACATTTTTGGAATTCAACACAGTCCAATTCTCAGGTCAAGTCGGCACACCTGCGGCTTAGGGGCGTGAATGGCGTGTGAACGGAACGGAACGGGGAACGGAGGAGTTTCAAGTGGCTCACCAAAAATATTACTCGAGCTGGCTCGAGATAAAACGAGCTCCAGTCTCTTCAATGTTATTTAGCTGCAAATACATTTTCTGTGACATACTGTCACCAATGTCGAGCATATTCCTACCAGATTCATAGCATACGCAATGATGAAGGCTTTGCAACTGTCGAAAGAGCTGGAAGCCTCTCTGCCAACTCTTTCACTTGTCAATCTTCCAATCCCGACTTCCACCACTAGCCTCGCTCTCGTCAAAATCAAATATTCTTGCATTAATCCGTCGGATAGATTCAACAGTATCGGGGGATTTCCGAATACAACCTTCCCCCGAATTCCGGGTCGTGACTACTCCGGCACAGTGATCGACTTGAAGGATAAATCAGGTGCTATGCGCTCCAAATGGATCGGAAAAACCGTCTATGGAACTGGTGGTGCCGAATTTGGTTTCAAGATGGACGGCCCACATGCGCAATACTGCCTCATCCCCGAGAACATGCTTATCGAGAAGCCCGACACAATTTCCCTCCTTCAGGCTGCTACAGTTGGGGTTCCGTTTACGACAGCACTGCGATGTCTCACACGGGCAAGAACAAAGCCAGAGGATGTTATTCTTGTGCTAGGTGCCGGCGGAGCCGTGGGATCTTCTGCTGTTCAGGTCGCTCAGGCAATAGGGTGCAAGCGCGTATTGACTGCAACTCGAAACAAAGACGATAATCCAGATATCATGTTGGAAGGCGATATTGCTGCAGAGATTCAGAGCAAGATTCCCTCTCTCACCAACAATATGGGTGTCAATGTGGTGATTGATACTATCGGAAACCTCAATATCATGAATGCTGCCATCCAGGCTTTGGCTGTCAAAGGTCGGTACGCATGGATTGCTGCGCCACGAGGAGAGGGATCTACAAAGCTCGGTTTGGACATTTTCGAGGCCTATCGAAAGGAGATTGAGCTTGTAGGCTGTAATTCTGGTCTTGCTACAACTGGAGATACTGCGGAAGAGATGCAAATCTTGACCCGTTTCTTTGAACAGAATTTGATTCATCCGCGATCTGAATCTTCAATGAATGTGGTCGATTTGGATGATGCTGTTGAGAAGGGGTACAGGGCCTCTTCGAGCGAGAAGCAGACCGTATTGAGGATAGACTAGACACGTTCCAGCATTTTGACTTCGGTGTTCGTATTTGATCTATATCGATGCCTTACCATAGAAGTGAATAGAATAAACTGGCAATTTGGACATTCCTTAACCTTCTCTTTACATCCCATTGCAGATATAACCTAAGTTTATGTTATCTCAGGTTTCCCGCTTTCTGGGACAACCACCGGGTTTAAGCTAACACAGAATATATCAGCCCTGTATGTCGGAGTCAGGGGTCAAAAGGTGTCAAAAGGTGTCAAAAGGCGGTTTGTATTAATGGGTAAAGAACAGGTTTGAATACATGTGGGGCCCGAGCCCTAATAGCTATGCAATGGGAGGACTGGGCAATAGGTGGCTGATATTGTTATCGCTACCCCAAGCCGAAGAAACATGCCTTCAGTAGTGGTGGTTGGCAAATGGAATATGTGTATGCTGAGATCGGAATATTGAATCTCGTGGGCTTTTGTGGACTTTGTTCCCACTATTGACCTCTATAGAATTTGGTGAAATTCTATGCCTAAATCGAGTATATTATAGTAAAATCATTTTTTTCTACTATTGTAGGCTTTCTTTTTTTTCTTTTCATTATGCTTGTCTGAGTAGAAAATGGATACTTTTACTATACATGATATGGTTAAAGTGGTTGCGTAGAATATGTCCATTTCGATTTACTGCTTTGCAGTTACCACTCAACGGGGCTGCTTAGCTCAATACCCAGAGTTGAGAGCCTGAGTATGAGGCGACTTTGGTCCTGAGAACCATCAAGACCGTGGGGTGACGAGCCGATTGCATTGTCATATACAGCAGATTGGAAAAATTCGCACCAGTCTTGTTCGGTATCACTCCCTCGTGGCATCAGCTCCTTGACAACATTGCTCGTGCCCTTGAGAGCAGAAACTAGGAGCCATATATCCTCTATGTTCTTGTCTTACAGATAGACAAAGAGCTTATAGGATAGTAGCTATCAAGGCTTTTAGATAGAGCCACACCCATCCCTTTCTTTCAAAATCGAAACCCAACGTCATTTACCTGTGCTAGAATACACAAAAAAATAAACGGGAATGTTAAAGAAGGCTTGCAGAAAGACACCTAGTTTATTCACTCGATCTTACACTCTGGGAACTCGCTCTGCAGGCGAGATTTGTGTATGTCCGGAAATAGGTTGGTCTTCATGCCATCGAACCCCGCCAGGCCCGAACGAGAGTTCAGCATTTTGTCAACGACCCACCAGTACTTGTTCTCATCACTTTTTACATGTAATGGATCGATTGGTACAAGCCCCTTGACCACGTCCTTAAGTGCTTTGGTCGGCTTGGCATTGCTTTCCAAGAGGAACTTGATAGTATGCAAGCGTTGGGAGATTTGCCACTGAGTGAACCCACGATCAAGCTCGAACCATTTCGGGACAATTGTGTTATCAACAATACCGAGGACCGAGGCTTCAAGAGGAGACACGTAGATTGGATTTTTGGAAAAGTGCTTCCAGACTCCTACACCTCCGCTGGGCTTTAATAGGGCAGGGTTTGCGGCGCACTTGGCCTTCAAGAGCGTAGGGCACGGCCACGTGGCAGCTAGGATCGCTATTCGGCTCTCAGAGGACATGGTCCTCGAATTTGGGACTCTGGTACTGGCAAATACGTCACCAAGGCTGATAGGTAGAAGTTTTTCTGTCTCCATCTGGCCTACAATAGATAGGAGCTTGTCCCGATTATAAGGGGAGTCCTGGATTTCGGCAGAGAGCTTGAGGATCCGGAAGATACACTGTAGGCGGAGACCCTTTTGCCCAGCATTGTCTTTCCATGCTGGGCCTTTGGTACGGACCTCCCCTACTAGCACCCCGACGAGGGTGAGCAGAGGATCAAACTTCTCCGGTGCCTGTGCATGAATCTTGGACTGGTTGGCTTGTATTCGCAGCCAGTCGAAGGCGGTTCGGTGCAAGAAGTCGACAGTCGGGGGTTTCGTATTGATCTTAGAGAAATGGGAGATCTGCAAGATCCCCTTGGTATGTCCCTCGAGGAAGCGTTTCATGACGGGGAAGATTTCGGCCGGGCGGGAAGGGTACTCGACTGGGTTTTCTGGGTCTGTAGATGCTATCGCAAGCCAGAGAAAAGTGGCATCGATACGGCTCGCCCATGTACGTTTCCATGCCATGACGAATTGGTACAGCATCGATGCATTCGCTTGCCTGGCTGGCCCAATAGAGTCTTGGATGGTTTCGTACAGCTTCTCCAAATCTGCTGGTAACGCGTCAAAGACCTTCCAGATATCTGCAAGACGTAGGCTATCTCGGAGTAGCTGAAGTAGTTGCTCCACGACAAGGGCGACCCAGAGGAAAACGCCGCTTGCTCGATCTCGAATCTGAACCTTTAACTCTTTCCCACTTTCCGGGTCCAGTCGCTCGAGCTGTTGGAACGCCCGGTACTTACCGAGACGACAATCTATATACGTATCAATATCTGGTCGTGTGAGGGTCTCCATCACCAGTGACGGGCTGTCGTGGAACTCGTCGGAAAAGATATTCCAAGGTCGGCTGGAGACGCATAGTTTTACCCCAAAGTCCTTGTGTAGATCTTGAAGGAATTTGACGACCTCCCCATGCTGCCCTTCATATTCGTCTAGCCCATCAACGAAAAGAGCGAGGCGGGTTGTGCCCGCAAGCTCCGACGTGATTCGATACAGACACTCTTTAAGCTCCGTCCACTCCCAGGAAGGCGACCAGGAGGACGAATCTGAGCCGACTGCTGCAATATTGAGATAGACCCACCTCGCGGGCGCCACACGAGCACAAAGGTCACGGCGCTGGCCCAGTAGCTGGAACAAAAGCGACCGTAGAAGGCCCTCGCGAGACTTTTGCAACTTGGATCCGGGGCCCCAGAAATAGAATATTGCAAGGAGCACGGGACATGGGTAGGCCCAAGCGTTAATATGCTCCTGCAGTTCTGCATGGGTCGAGATATACTTCATTAATGTGCTTTTACCAGATGCTGGCTTGCCGGTGATCCAGAATATGCTCTGCTCGTGCGATCTCAGCCACTTGATAAAATTAATCCCTGCATATTCATCATTCTCTGCTCCGCTGACGGATTTCTGAGTCGCGAACATCCACTGGAAGGTGTCGGGATATGCGGACTTGATTCTATCGTCCCGGTCCGTCATTTCCTCGAATCGCAGACTTTCCAGAAGCCTTTCAACCAGCCGTCCATCTGTGGGTTTGTTATCCGTATTACTGCCACTTGGGGGTATTTGAGTATCGCCATTCACATCTAGCATTCCAGTCGAGGCCCAGAGCGCTTTGGCAATCCTTCCTTGGGTTGCGGAGTCTGTCTGCTCGCCTGCTGAGATCTTCGCAAAATCGTCTCTCAGGGCAAGCATCGTCTGTTCAATATTCTGGACAACTCCCAGAAGTTGCCCAACGTGACTGGTTATTCCTTCATTTTGTTCGCGCGTCTTTTTGGCATCATCCCTTATGCTGTATGAGCAATGCAGAGATCACATACAAGAAGATGGGGCTCAGTTACCAAATACACATCAGTACGGTCATGGTGACACGATCCCGGATCTTATTCAGTTTGCTCTCCAATTCTTTGATCTCTTTCTCCGACCATATGCTTTTAAACGCGACGATGACTCGGTGCCCTCTCGACTCAGTCTTGATCTTTGCCAGCGCCCGCTGTAGTTGCGTTTCAATGTCTAAACAATTGTTTTGCAGACGTTCCAAAGAGTCAGAGTAACTGGGGTGCGCCGAACACAGGCCCTTAATCTTGTCCGTTGCGTCCGACGTGACAGAAGCCAACTCGGTAGCTGCCTCGTTGACCTGGATAAGCACCCGCGACCCGCCTAGGTCGCGAATCTCGAAAGTCCGTGCTACGAGTTTCGCGCCGAAGTCGACCAGGGCAATAACCGCAGTGGCGACGGAGAGAGCTGACATCGGATCCATATTGGGTTTTCAGTCTTTCACTTACACCTGATATTTCTTTATACCTTCTCGCGGAGATGAACTGGGAGTTCTTCGAGGGTGGGGCAGGGAAAACAGAGACAGTGCTTACCAGGTGGGGAAATATCTGACAGATAGCCCAGGGCATTAAGACCCAATGATGGGATGTTGTTGAGCCCCTGCTGCTACCTGACGAATTAATCATAGTGTGACGTGGCAAATGCAGCCATTCACCTGGTCTTCACAGATTATGTACCCGCAAGTGAAAAATAAATTGGAATGGGGGTGTTAATGGCCACTACTGGCTCTTTGCCTAATTATGTGATATTAGACCATGCGAATAGGTACAATAACGTCTTATGGCGGCTTTATGTGCTGATAACCACTATGGTATATAGATATCCACACCGCCTGTCTAGGCACCTACTCTGGGCCTTATATTGTCGGCGATAAGCTGGGGTGATATGTAGGTAAATACTGTACCATTGACATATAGCTATTGCCTAGTAAAGTAAAGTTGGAAAGTGTTAAACATTTTATTTTAGAATCTTGCTTATGGAAGCTCTCGAGCAATAATTTCACCTTGAACTTGATGGTAATAGAGGCTGACACTTAATAAATGCCAACATTTAGACGCCGATAAGAGGCCAGCGTTCATTAGACTCCTAGCTAACACCTGGGAGTGTCCGTGTGATTGGTTCTTCGTCTGTTCGCTGAACCCCGACGGCTCTTGGAACGATGTTAAGAATGACGCAAATTCTAATAGGCTGCCGGGCTGAATCTGAAGGGAAATCCTCTCTGTAGTGAGGCTATATCGTTTATGGGGAAGTTCAGGAGGGAGAGGGAGTGTAGCTCGGTACAACCGGGCCGTATCAATAAACGCCGAACTAGTCTACTTGTACGGAGAATTCTCCGAGGTATATAACGTACGATTCGGCCCGAATATGTGAACTTGACTTGTGAAACGGGGTTTCGATTTTGCTTCCCATAGTAGTTCCTTATAAATCATCAGGTTAGAGGACTAGTTTGCTCATGCATAGTGCCAAACCAACGTCATCCATCCAAATAGCCTAAGCTTAAGAAAAGCGGAACTGTGACTTATTACTTTTCTTTCGCACTCTTCGAGAACTTCAAAGCACTGAGATTATTTTCCCAATGACAAACAAGCCTTCGGCCTCTCAAGGGCCGCCTCTCGCGGAAACTAACGGTACAAAGGACTCATTGGATCGTTGTCCGTCGACGATGACAGTTCAATGGGCTGATAATGACCCCGAACATCCTTATAATCTGAACTTGAAAACGAAATGGTTGGCTGTTATCACAGTCTCCCTTGGTTTACTTTGCGTGTAACTGTATGCTTTTATTGAAAGTCGAAACTGATTCAAATGCGGAAAGTAATAGTACTTGCACTTCATCCATATACACGACAACTTACAGCTAGATTATGAACGAATTTCATTGTTCTCAAGAAAGAGCAACTCTTGGCCTTTCGCTCTTCATTTGGGGAATGGGTAAGCCGAGCACTCGAGCCATTTCCGTCAGCAAACAGCTCACTTTGTCCTCTGTAAGGATTGGCCCGCTAGTGCTGAGCCCATTATCCGAGGTAACTGACAAAGAATGCAATTATCACCGGAACAATTAATAACTTTAGCAGGAAGGATTGTTTATTTGTGCTCTTTTACATTTTTCTTCATTTGGATCTTCCCATGCGCCTTTGCGGAAAATATTCAGACGTTACTCCTCGGTCGATTTTTCAACGGATTTTCTGGAAGCGCCTTTCTTAGTGTTGCAGGGGGCACAGTCGGGGGCATGTTTCCCCGGCATAAGCTAGCATTTCCTATGATGGTGTATACCGCTAGTCCATTTATTGGGCTTGAAATTAGACCTCTGTGAGTTCCAACCTGCTCAATCTATGCGGTAAAATGATCAGGTACTTATACAGCTTCCAGCCTCGGAGGCTTTATTAACCAGTATACTGATTAGTACATAATTTAAGAACTAGATAAGCGATTTCAGAAATAATCGAAACTAAAATAGGAAACAGGCGCTGGACATTCTATGTATTACTCATTTGGGCAGCCGCAATGTTAGGTTTGGTGTATTTTTTTGTCCCCGAAACTTATCAACCAGTGTGAGTATACGGCAATGATGTCTGTGAAGATAGGAGAGGTTAATATACTTGCTGCAGGCTTTTCAGTCGAAAAGCACAACAAATACGAAAGCAAACCGGAAACTCAGAAATTCTGGCACCGAACGAAAAACACACATTGCCTCCCCAGAAGATGATATCACGTTCCATTTACAGGCCTATTATGCTATTAACACTTGAACCAATGTGTCTGAGCCTTTGCATTTACTCCGCAATTCTTCTTGGAATTATTTATCTCTTCTTTGGTGCATTTCAAACTGCTTTTGAGTCGATTTATGGATTCGAGCTGTGGCAGCGTGGGCTTTCGTTTCTTGGCTTGTTGGTGGGAATGAGTCTTGCTATGCTTTCTGACCCATACTGGCAATGGAAATACCGTCGCTTGGAGAAAAACCATGTGGCTCTCGACCATTCAGACTCCGAGTTCATGCCAGAATGGAGGCTCCCTCCAGGTATTTGTCTTCTCGCTTTGATGACTCAGAAGTTACTCATTTTCTAACCCTGCCTATAGCAAAATTAGGAGCACCTTTGGTCACTGTCGGCCTTTTACATTTGCGTGGACAACCTATCCAATCGTCCATTGGATTGTGCCCATCATTGGAAGCAGTTATTTGGTGCAGGGTACGTGTTCCAAATTATCCTGGGTACCAAAGCATAGAAAAAAGACCCATGAACCGTTCAAATTGCTGCCTTTTCATCTTATTGCATTGATTCTGACATGACTTTTTCATTCACTAGGACCATTCTCATCTTTTCCGGTATATTTACATTTCTTGTGGGTGCCTATCCCACATATTCCGCAAGCACCTTGGCCGCAAATAGCTTCACGCCATCCACTTTTCCGGGAATGTCCCCCCTGTTCGGTACTCAAAGTAAGTAAAGAACTTGCCAGAAATACCCTTTGTGACAAATTTAATAGCTTTCTCTCGCCGATAAGTGTACGATGGATTGGGCACACAATGGGCACCGTGTCTACTTGGATTCCTCACTTTAGCAATGTTGCCTTTCCCGTGAGTAAGCCTTTTCTAACTTACGGACCAGATGTCAAACAGAGAACGATTTGTTTCCGGTATATATTTTACAGGTATGGAGAGCACAACCTGAAGAGAAGCCGTTTCTCGGGATAAATTTGGTGTCAGAAGGGCAACGCAATGTCCAAATATGATAAGATATGGTATCTCAATAAGTCAGATAGAAGATGCCCGCTTAGACACTTAGCTAGAATCCCTCTATTCAAAGAATGCTATCGTAAAGAATGGAATGTTATCTCTTATTTCGAGCTGCGAGAAATTGTTATCATTATTTCAGTCATTGCCTTCTGCGCTGCTAGCCTTTGCCTTTTTAGCACCTGAATGTTAGTATGGCATTCTAGTCCTGCAGTAACTACGCAATTTGTGACTGTCTGTACATTTTGATCTGTTGAGTCATCAACAATTGAATTTCAGGAAAGCCTTATTCTTGGACAAAGTAAAACCTGTGCATTGTTCAAAGCCCATGTACAAGACGGCTAGTCCTTTCCTCGTCCGACGCAAGGCGGGTTTCCAGGTAATCGAAGGTGACTTGATGCAACCGAAAGAAAGCACCTTGATGACAATGGGTGTCGCCGCCCTCTTCTGCTCGCAAGCTAACGAATTCGTACTCACATTGCAAACTTTTGCAAAGGTCCTCTGGCTGGCCTTTCAGGAAATGATCATTCTCCGCATCAAGTACCAAACAGGGTGTCACAATCTTTTGACTCAACCCTTCCAAGGTGTAATTTTTAACTGCCCGCATAAATTCCGAGACGGAACGCACTCCAAAGGTCCATTTTCCATTCCGCAGACCCCAGCGAATACCTGTCGAAAAGGATTGTACCCAGCCAAAGATCCAGTTACAAGTTGAATCATATTCGAGCTCAACCAGTTTTTGAACAAGCGCAGGCTGTTGGGTTCGGAATGCGGAACCAAAATCGTAGACGCCGTCATCCAGGATAATGGCGCGGGCTCGGTGTTCCTGCGTAGCTGCTCTTGCCACTAAATATCCACCCATGCTCCACCCAAAGATGGCTATAGCATTGGCGTCAATGTCTGCCCGAGTCAAAGCATAGTCGACAACAGGGGTAAGTACATGTTCCCAATCGTGTCGGAAATACAGGTGCTGTCTCCGGACAGCCGCCCCTTGTCCCGGGCCATCGAAGGCGAGGAAATTATAACCCCTTGCTAGTGCTGCCGCTCCAATTGCAAACCACCCTTCGCTCATAGTCGAGTCATACCCACCATTGAAAATAATGGTACGACGTGGCTTCTTCGTGCTGTCAAGGCTGACGAAATAGCCTGGAAGCGTTGTCCCTTCATAGGGAATGGCGATGGATTCGTAAGTGAACGAAGAGACTCCCATGGCCTCTCTAAAAGATTCCTCCGAGCTTTTATAGAGAAACTGCGAAACGTTGTCTTCTTCAACATTCTCTCGTCGGAAAAATTCAGCAGTGCGGAAGTAGTTCGATGCACGAAGGTATCCCTGATAGGCGCTCTCGTAGTTTTTCACGGATTTTGACTTCACTGCGTGAGAGACTGCGCGTTCCGCAGCCTTTTGCCATTCATGCACCCAGTCATCTTCGTTGCCAGGTCGGATTTTGGAGCAGATGGCTATCACTTCAGCGAGATCTGCACCACCATAATTGCTGTAACCCGCCGCGCGAAGCGCTTCATAGCTGAAACACTCGTTCGACTTGAAAAAGTGATCGATAACCATTGGGGGCTTGCGGGATGAGATAGTTTTTCGGAAAGATAACAATTTACGAAACAGTCTTGAACGTACGACAGCTTAATAAATTTCTGGGATCACAGACGCAGACTGGCAAATGCCGAGATCATGATATCCGAGGCGCCCCACCACCGAACTTGGTGGCGATAAATTCGGTGCTGGAATGGAATCGGTCCGAATCGATGGCTCCCACAAATGAGCGGTCCAAATACCATACACTTATGTATCAAATCTATATTAATGTTGTAAAACAAGGCAAATATATATTCATTTCGCCAAGGGTAAACTATCTCATAGGAATGATGGGTAAAACGATGTAATTGACAAAGTTGGGGCCAAAGTGAATGTGATTCTGGCCTTTGAAGATATCGTCCGATCTGTAGAAAGGTTAGAAAAGACAAGTAACTGGAGTTTAGAAGAAACTCCTTTACCAATCCAAAAACCTACCTGTCAATAGGGTCATCGTGGCCCCAAAAGCCAGTACCTGAAGTGTCTCCTGAGCTCACTTCCAATACCAGCCGGCCTCCTGACTCAACCACCACATTTGTTGGCCAAAGTTCCACTTCAACAAGGTAAACGTCGTTTGGAACTACGGGCAGAACATCTGTAGAATAGAAGTCGCGATACGGTAGCCAATTACGATGACGGGGGTGTTGAGAATTGGTTTTGCGGAGAGAAACTCGAAGCCAGCCTTTGGTTACAGGAACAGGCTCTCCAGTAGAACCGGTGTAGAAGATTTCCTCACCAGATGGTGACAGATGACGCAGCGTGAGGAATAAATCCAAATCAGACGGAGAATCTCCCCATCGATATCTGCTAATGGAAACATTGAGGTGAGCCACAATATGTCCGGTCACCTCAGTTTCCGAGTCAAATAACGGCGACGTAAATGTCAGAATATCTTCAGGTCTTCCCTCACCAAGTGCTTGGTAAGTTAATTTAGTCGGCTGTTGCTGTTTCGGTAGGTCGCATTGAAGTGCGTTTTTGGCTGTCAGATAAAACGGCGTGTATTTGGTCCTGGCAAGTGGCCATTCATTCTCCTTTCGACGAAGGAATGATTTTTCCCCCTGAGAATTGTTATATCCAACATTGCCCTGCCGCAGAACCAAGTCAATTGCCGGAACAGCCCCCTTCTTGGTCCATCCTTCGCGATCATCCCCTTTAAGCCATGCATCGAGGAAGCTTTTTTGAATCTCCACTTCTTCCGGATAATAGAAGGGTAGATCATGCCGTCCTGTGATAAATCGAAGATATTTGAAGTCTGATCCTGCCCAAAGATATCCAAGCACATTCCCTCGCAGATGCAGTAAGCTCCCGCCCAGGTTGGCCACGCTCAAGACGGGGACTGTCACATCCTCGAGATTGAAATTGAGGGACGATAAACTTTTGTCATCTCGGTATCTCTGCTCATGGAGCACCGCTTCGTATCGATTTGCATTCAATTCCTCGGAGCTAAGATCGCCTTCAACCGTATCGGGACCCCAGTTGCGCGCTGCTCGTCCAGGTAATCCATATTGATTGGGTGCGACCTGACGAGAATATCACATGGAGTAAAATTTGTTCGAGAGAATTCCCCCATGCCGCAAAGACTCGCTGTATGGGTCCGAAAACCCCTCCCATGGCACAATAGCCGCCAGACCTTTGGGCTGCAAGCTCGCAACTTGCCATTGTGTCGCAGCGTAATAGCTAACACCAAGGAGGCCTACTTTCCCCGAACACCATTCCTGCTCAGCAGCCCATTCGATGACATCACGGAACCCCTCGATTGAAGCTGCGGATTTTACGTGCAATACACCAGGGGATTGGCCAACTCCAATTTCATCCGCTCGAATGACAATGTAACCATTGTCGGTCCAAAATTGGGGCGTTGGTGTCTCCCAAGCGGAGTGCTCTGTCCGATGCGTAGGGTGCACTTCAGAAAAGCTTTTTGGGTTGAAACTATTTTTTTTTGAACGGAATTAACATTGCCATATAACTCTCGGAAAGCCTGTGTCACCTACTCTTTGTAGGGAACGTCTTTGCCGTACGGTCCATAAGTCATAAGTACGGGGAACTTGGTCCCTACTGAAGCTTCCTTGGGCTTGTATACATTGCAGCGGATTATCCCTCCATTCCCTAAGGGCACGGTGACGTTTTGCTCGAAGATGTAGGAGAAGCTTTTCGAATCAACGGTTAGGATATTGCGATGTTGAGCTGACATGTCGGATATTGATTGTTATTTCGTGACCGAGATGAGCTTGATTTTGAAGAGCAAGCCTACTAACCTCCGGTACCTAAGGACTTAGAAGGGTTCTTATTACTACACAATTATTCGGTGTGAAGTCGAGAGATTCAGGCGAACAATGCGTCAGAGGCAGTAAACCTTGGCTAAGTGGAATATCGGCCCGATTCGGCTTGGCCGAATCCCATGGATACCTCCGAACGTGAGATATAGTGTCTGTCCCAAATGCTAAGGTAGATCTCAACAAGCATTTCAATGTCTATTGTTTAATCAATATAAGAAGTTTTTCACAGCGAATATTTCAACTGAAAGGAGCATGGCGAATGGAAGATGACCAAGGGGTCTGCAGATATGACGGCTTGAACCAATGTTAAACTAACTAAAACCCCTCCAACCCCGTTGAAAGAGGATGGACGGTTCAAGTCCAGAAAATTGCTCAACTCCAGCTTCTGCAAAAGACAAACTGTACCATTCAGAGTCTGGCAACAGATCCATTTGGCTCATCGACGACTCATTTGTTGTCATATCAACCAAACTATCTAATCCCAAATCGCTATTATCCCGACGCGTATCTGAGGCTTGTGTTTCTTCAATATGTTCTCTCGAGTTTCTGTTCGTGACAGGGGGGGTTTCGGATGCCCACTTTCGAGATCCACGGGTTGATTAGATCCTTCAAATATTGTGGACGGGCAGCGGTTTTTAAAATACACCGATGGTTCATCTGAAAATAATTTAGTTTCCAAAATGTCACTAGCGTATAATAAGGAAGATTGTAGTCTGCTTACTGTCTCGTAAGTGAACTGGCCTGGATGGTATTCTAGGCGCTGAAAGGCCGGCGTGTAAGGCAGAATGCAAAATTTCCCACTACATTTATATAGTGTCAAACCACGCCACATAAGATATTCAAAGATATCAGGAAAGATTAGAATACTCACAGGATGCTGCAAGGCCCTCCAATATACTCTAAGAGTGTCTATCAGGCGTAGTATTGCTTCTACAGCAACCGTCTTGCGGTCCCCTTTACCGGCGTTCACGGGTGGTTCACTCACCGATTTGTTACGACGAGAGACTTCCGTAGACAGGATCACTATCCCCACTACAAAAGCGCCATAGCCAACAAGAGGAGGCAGTCGTGAAACATCCTTTCGTTCATAAAGGTAAGGCGCCAATAGGCGCTCAAATAACTCTGCATGATGAGTGACAGTCTCTGCTGCTTTTCGTTGTGTCCCAGGGTCAATGTTCGGGTCGGCGGGGATACCCGAGAACAGAGGGACAATCATGGAGTGTAAGACGATCTGGCATTGATGATAAACAGCATCATGAAGAAGTAATAGAATCTGGACTTCGGGCGTTTTATCGTCTTGACGGACAAAGCCCCTTACGGCAGAAGAATCATTAAACAGTGATGTTGCCAAACGGGATAAATGCTGCGCCAAGTTGAGGTCCTTGGAAATTGTAGATGAGAAGTGGTGCTTGCACAGGAGCTGTACTTTCGCCCTGGGTGAATAAAAGCATTAGTTAATGTCCATAGTCACACAGTGGAAAGACTCTCTTACCAAACACCAATCATTTTCATCAACAACCCCACGGTGGTGGAAGGGTAAGAATCTCCCGTGGAGGATCGTACGGATATTGAGTGCCAATCTCCATCCATCATCTGATTAAAGGATACCTGACAGCCTAATGACGTAGAAGTAATTGAGCATGGAAGTGGCACCATGGATGCTTCCTTCCAAGCTGACTCGATGTATGGCTCCGGCTCCATAACAATGCATGTAGATGTCCAACAAGCCCAGAAGCATCGTCGCTTCAATTCAGATTCGACCGAAGCATCATTCTCATTCGCAATCCTCCTGTCAAATCCGAGCATTTGACATGATCGATAGGCAAGAGCTATATATTCGTCATTTTGAGTTCCCAACAAAATCTTTTCATATAGAGATATCGTTTGTCACATGGACGACAGCTTACCGAGGCATAGATTTCCCGAGTGAGGCTGGCCGATGCCAAACCAATAGAGCTGAATGCACTCTAACGCTTGAACAATCATAAGAGACGGGGATTCCATAACCAACGGCATGGCTTCTCTCATGGCGGCTTTTGCCCATGGGAGCCCACAAGAGTGATATACACTCAGAACCTTGAGCTCCGTGTTTTCATCTTGATCAGATTCTTCTTCGTCATCTTTTGGATGAAGAAACCTGAAAAATTTGTCAGCGGAACAATTTGAGTTAAATTCACTTAAGGCGTAGAGGGTGACACACAAAGTTGCTAAAGCAAATAATGCTTTGAGAAGAGCCCCATGTATTTTGCCCTCGAGATATTGCTGAAAAAGAACAGGTTTGTGAAATAAAAGAGACGCATTGTATATGCGCGCAAAGTATATCTCGAGTAAAGAAAGGCCAAGGGCGGTTGGTGGCAACGGTGGTTGCTTTGTATCGGTTGTTGACTCTGTTGGGATCGATATCATTCTACGCAGCTGGATGGGGTAGGACTATGAAATATTAGCCAATGCATGAGAAATATTTTAGGTGGTAGCTTCTTGACTTGGATCCTACATCAGATAGCACAGGAGTTCCTGCGGCTAGACTAGTGGATTCGTCGCCTATCCCAGCATGGCTTGGAGAGGCTGCATTCTCTTTGAAGGAATAACTGGGACCAAGTTGGGTCGGATTAGGAGCTTGAGATAAAGGGCTGCTTGACGTTTGTTCACCAATGGGCGATGCCTCTTGTGATATAAGCCCATTGCAAGGATGCTGAATGACAGTATCCCCAGAGTGAGTACCGTCAGGACTGTGTTCAGCTGTCTTGTGCAACAATTTTTGCCTGCGCTTGCTTCGTGGGCCCCGGCGATCTGGAGGATTGGGGTAGACACAAGTCGCCTTGAGTCGATCGCACCGAGCGCAAATAGGATGTTCCCGGCCACACTTCAACTACAGAGGACTCACTTTCAGTAAACGCGTTCATTTGGTTACCGGAGATGCAATTACCTTCTGATCGCGACACCGCAAACATGCGGTGATCGATAAGCGCGATATAGCACGAGCATCTTTCCTGCTACTTTCTTGATTACTAGCGGTCTGCATTGTGTCTTTCTTTGCATGTCGCGTGTATTCAGGCCGTTCTGGAGGTGAAATTTCGGGCCGAAACACAAGCTTTTCTGGTCACAGATGCTGGCAGTTTGATTGAGAAATGGTAGTAGGTCAGAACTTAAGCGAACCAGGCTTCCCCTGACTCCGGGCCGAACCACGTGCACTCACTCAATTCGGGCCGATACGACGATCGAGAACTTGACGCTACCACGAATGTGCTCATTTATTAACCCCTCTACTTTATCATTCCCTGTTAAGAATTCCTATAAAATAATTTTGATCGCAAACCAGAGTCCGAATATTCAGTAAATATCTTGACACAGTACATTCTGTTAGGACGTCAATAACGCAACACAACTGTTTGTTAACTATGTCTTTCACTAGTTACGAGCTAAACGTGTTTGATGAACAAGCTTTATCTTATCTAGTTAGTCTAACTAAGTGTCGAAGCTACTCTTTGGCCCCCTTCGAGCTATGGGCCTAAACTAAAAGCCCAAAACCCGCTGCGAGCTTTGCAAATAGGCTCGAAACCCGACCCTTTTGAGGGTCGAGTCGGGTCGGGTTTCGGGCTTTGCGAGCTTTGCAGAAGTCTACTCAATTAGATCCTACTTTTCGATTCTAACACTCGGGTTAACGCGACCATCTCAAGTAGGTCCGTATACGGCGGTTGATAAGGATTCTAATTTACTTATAACTCTCCTAGAGTTCACAACCATGTTTATTTGCCTTTAGCCATAAAAGCTAGAGATAGAGCGCTAGTAAAATTCGTTTAACTTTATTCACCTAGCCCTCTAATCATTAGCTCTTAGATTCTTAGGGAAATAAAGACCCGCTCGCTACCTATAAAGAACCTAAGCTATTAAGTCGAATACTCTAGGAGCTTAAACTTCGTATTGCCTTTAATCACTAACCTAGTTCTAGTAGACTGAGATAGCTTACCGTTCACATGTAGACAAATTCCAAGAAAACAGGGCAGGCAATCCTCTGACACGGAGCACTTAAGGTTCATCTCCGTATTTCCAGTTGATGTAGCTTTCCTCCTGCCTCTCCTAGACTTCCCTGGGTTTGGTTTCTGCCAAATCCTTGCTACTATACAAGCGAGCAAAGCCATCTCTCGGAATCCAGGAATAATTCCCTCGAAGTCATCCCTTACAATGGTTCTCGAAATCGACATGATATTTATATGACGAAGATTTCGTGTATGAAAATATATGGTATGCATGAAAGATATGTAAGACTAAAATGACAAAATCCGCTATTTTTCCAATCTGTGCGGATAAGCTTTCTAAACATATTATGCACTTGACGCCAATTTGCGATCCCAGGAGTTTCCGGATTTCAATACCCGTACACAGCTATATTCTCCTTGTAGGTATCACCTTAAAGTCTCTCGGTTTGACGAACCATCTGGTCCGAGTCGTCCATCCATTAACCTTGCTATCCTGACTCAACTCGAAATCAAAGTCTCGCACCAAGACTGGGATCAATTTACTCATTTCCAGCAATGAAATATTCTTCCCAATGCAAGTTCTTGATCCCATACCAAATGGCATGAAGCCTTGCTCCATCAGTTTGGACTGCTGTTCATCTGCTTCGAGCCATCGTTCAGGTCTAAAGGTAGCTGCGTCCGGTCCGTAGATGTTTGTATCGTAGTGTAAGACCCAACTGTTTACACCGACATTTGTCTATTGGTCATATTAGCTCCACCTACTAAGCTTCATAATAAGGGGCCCTTACCCCCTCTGGAAAGAATTGACCAGCAAGCACCTCCCCGCCCTGAGGAACAACGCGGAACATTGGAAATCCTGTAGCAGGATGGACACGCAAGGCCTCTTTCATAACAGCCTGAAGATAGGGCATTGTCTGCGTCTCTTTGAAAGTCGGGTTGCCAGTGGTTCCAGACGATCTTATTTCCTCTCGCAATCTTTCCATACACCTAGGGGCTTGAAGCAAGTGGTACAGAATTGAGCTTAGACTGATAGCCGTGGTATCACTTCCTGCCCCAACATTCGCACTAGCGGTGGCTAGTATGTCATAGTCGGAAAGCTTCTCTGGATTCTGTGCTTGAGCTTGGACAACCTTCATAGTCATATGAGAGGGAAGATCGGTGCGATAATTCTTTATTGTTGCTTTTGCCTCTTGGATGTGTTGGAAGCTGAAGTTAGTCACATAGGTTTGATCCATGCCTAGGTATTCGGATAGCTTCATGAATATTGGACGGAGCCAGACGTATAGCCCAAAGTAGGAGCTTATGGTGAAGGAGCCATCGAGGAACTGGATTACATTTCCTACATCGTTGCCCGCATCAAGGAATCCGAACCTATCACCAAACTGGCTTAGTTAGCATAAGATCATACATAAAAAGCCAATACGCAGTATACGCACAGTAATCTTTCCAATAACATCAAAAGCATAACACTGCAACCAATGTCCCATGTCAATCATCTGTCCCTTCATCGCAAACTCATCTAGTCGCTGTTTGAAAATCTCAATGCAATCATCGACAAATGGCTCATATGCCACCAAGGAAGTCATTGAATACAAAGAAGCAACCTTTTTGCGATCCTCCGCATGTTTCTTAGAGGATCTCTCAGAGAACAAGTTTGTTAAACTTAAGTCACTGCTGAAGTTCCAGGCATCGTACCAGTCTGACTTTTGATACTTGGAGCCATGGCCGTAGATCAACTTTGTAGCCGTGGGATCAGAGACGCTGTACCAATTCGGTGCTACACGGACAATCGGGCCTGTAGGAATGGCATAAGTAAGTGTGAATGGGGGGTGTACGAATGATGCTATACTTGCCATGCTGTTGATGTAGTTTGATGTTTGTTTGGTGAAAATCACCTCGTTTCATTTGCCATAGGTACCAGAGATTTGTGAAACGGCTGAACTCTGGACCTGGGAGAGAGAGACAAGCTGGAAATTTGATTATAGAAATAATGAGACGAAGTATAAGGGCTGCAAGCACTATGAGGATTAGCGTTGAAAGAGAGATGGACAAAAACATGTTTCTGAGATGGATGTAGAAATTCAGTATTGTCAAATAATTCTACTCAAGTATGGTTAAACAATTATCTGGGAAGACAAGGTGTTATATATGGAGCATTGGTCCTCGGGGTTGCCATTGGTATGAATGCAGCGAGGTAGAATCCCCTCATCCCCAATTTTTAGCTAATTTAGCGTCCGTAGTGGTTGTGCCAAATTCTCCGAAGATCCAATCAGAATGTCTTTAGTGATCAACAGTGACATATGATTGAAGATCTTCAAAGATCGTCTCTAATTATATGACTCAGCGGAGGTAAACACGAAATTCAGCTCCGAAGGCCGGTTTCCAAATCATGTACTTCTGTCTTAGGTTAGCACTCTAAGGAGGGTAGGAAATACCCTATAGGGAAGGTACCCGACGCCAGAATTACTCACCCCCTTGTGAGCGACAGATTCCTGTTTCGGCATTCCACATGGACCGTAATTCATTATGATTTTTGCGGAGAGGAATGAAAGGGAAATTCGGGCTTCTTGGAAAGTGTCTAATGTGGCTAATTGTTATCGGATAGTTTGCAGGGGCTGTAGGGGTAAATTCACTATAGATTGACATAGTAAAACCTGTCTATAAAGAATTGATTGAGAGAGGGTAAAATATTGTTTAGTTGAGGCTTTTGTAATATCCAGGACCCTAGTAAACTTGTGGGGTGGCCACTCGGTGGTGAAATACGTTAGTTGTATATTTATAGTTTACATAAAACTTTATGCTCAAAAAAGCTCCTTTTGTAGTTTTGCTTCTGTATCCCTAGCCGCCTCGCTTCTACTAACCATTCATATCTATGTATTGCACCAATTAACTGGGTCCCACCCTGTTCTTGTTGCTCTTCATATAAATGTAGGTTTCGTAAAACCTGAATAGCTTCATGGTGTAGAAACTCTCTAGTAATTCCCTACCCTCCCTGCTCTCTAGTAAGTACTTGCCAGCTATTCCCTAATTCCTTGCTCCCTACTACAGAAAGCCCCTCAGACCAATCCGCACACTAGATGGTAGTACCAAAGCAGAGCGACGGTTAGAGGGAGTTGCCTGGTTTCGAATATGAACTAGACTTCGAATTTGAACTGGCCCGCTGTTTCCTCCCCTCTAAAACCCCACAGATTTAGATTGGATGGAAATTTATCTCCACAAACAAAACGTTCAGACTATGTTGACTGTTGCAGTTAAAGTGCTTAGATATCCTAGGTCAAGTATAATCCCCCGCTGTACTGTAGTCGTAGAGCTAATGTAAAAATATATGGGGGTGTTCATTTATACATGGCTGAACAATTCTATCTCATTTCTTCTAAATATCACATTGCAACGCTGGCAACTCAATGCTGACCTAGACTAGGTGTGTCCGAGAGGTTGCAGAATTGGCTTACTCCGTCGGTTTATGTCGGGTCAATGATTGATGCCACTAGCTTATTGAATAAAGAGCAAGGCTTGCTCAGTAACAATTCAAATTCACCTTCATCTTTAACCTCCGCGATAATAGATCATTGTACACAGTCATAGTCGGAAAGATATTTCCCTGAATCCACTCTCTTCCCTATTCGGCTTGGATTCATACTACCCTACCTAGGTAGGTACATACCATCCACCGGAGTATTACGAGCCTAGTCTAATGTGGATTAAACCGGCTTCAGCCACTACAGAGGTCCATTTCCAAAGTTTTGACCGAAAAGCAATTATAATCCATGGGTTATCTAGGTATAGCCTTAATCAATAAGGTGCTTTGATTGGTTTAATGCTAATTATAATGAACCCTATAACAACTAAATATTCGTCATGACGAGGTTAGTTCGTTCTCACCAAAGTAAACCCACCAAGTAAAGAAGTACAGGGTCATTTAAACCCGGTCTTACTGCATTAGTAATTATGGAGACGCATGTCGCTGAAAAGTGGATCTCAGCGGGGTCGGGCGGAAAGAAAACCGAGCCCTGGAAGCTTCACAACACTATGTACTGTCAAGTATTGTTCCAATTTTGGGGCGCATCTGGACTTCCAAGTACACAATCTATATTGTTTCGGCCCCATGGCCCATATGTTGATTTGCCACCCAGAATGCTCGGCAATACTCAAATGCTGTTAGGTTTTGTGGATTGGACAACACAGTTGCATAATAGGAAATTTTATGTTCAGGGGAGAAGAAGCGGGTCCCATAATTTTCCATGTACGAGCAGTGTCTATTTGCTGGCCAACAAACTGTACTGATCCCCTCATGACAAGTTAAGTTGTACACGTAGTGTTGACAAAAACAAGAGTTTTATCACGCGGAGGTCTTGTGAATAAATGCTTATGTATAACAAATTCTAGTGCTCCAATTGGAGCCCTGGAGCATAGTCTTTCTACTTCAACGCAGTCCCGGGTACTCGTCATTCTTCCAACTTGTATGCACACACATTGTACCTCACGCTTTGTACTCCGTAGGGACTCTAGATTGTAATATTGTAGCCTCCTCGCCTATTACCGTCTGGTCCGAGAGATGCCAATAAATTGCCAAGACAGTCTCAAATCCCTTATCCTCTTGGCTGAACGATCTTGTATAGTGGCGTTTCATGAGTATTCACACCCCAATACTTCTACCGTTGACCGCCCTGTACTGGTATAAACCCCACAAGTGAGTGGATTAAATGTCCCTCCGGCAGAAAATAAGTGGCTTCCAAAGTACCAGGGTGCAAATACTCGTGAAACATGACTGTAACTCTTGGTGGAGCATAATATTGTGGGGTTCTAAGGGGCCAAAGCGTTCAATAAGTACTTTCTTTTGATTGGAACTTCCTTCTTTTTCCTTCATCTCTCCTCAATTCAGTTCATATCCGGTGGGACTAGAATCTAGATCTATTGGGGGTCAGGTGACCCCAAAGCAGATTCAGTCAGATAGTTTAGCCTTAGCTTCACTCCCTATCTGTAGCTCCCAGAGAATCCAATTGGCTCTATAGGTTTATGAACCCTCGAGACACCTCACCGGCATAATGATGGCAACACTACCCCCGGAACTGTTATTCTAGATCGCAACTCTTCTGCAAAATAATGGAAATTCTTTAATTTTATATACTTGTGTTTGTCGCTTATAGTAGGCGACTTTTGAACCACTTATCTACTCTAACCTCGCTGTCTATAGTGACGATAAACATAAAGAAGAGGGGTAACGTAAAACTTTTCTCTAAAATTTCTAAAAGCTTATATCCGGCTATTATACTATACGGAAAACGTATATCCGAAAGGTTGAATATAATATCCTCGTCCCCTACAAAGTCTTAGACTAGATCGTACGTAAACACTAGGAGAGTCCTAAAATTATAGTATATATAACCCTATCCGAAATGACAATAATCTAGCTTTTTAGATAGCTATAGTTAGTCTTTTCTAAGAGCTTCAATTATAGGATTAAAATTCCTATCTGAGATTAGATCTAGCTATTCGAGGTCGTCGGTAAGGTCTTATACTGGAACTATATACTTAGTACTTAGAAATCACCGCTGACTATCGTTAGGATTATCGAGATAGGCGTATATTATCAATTCCCCCGTATAGAGCGTAGTTTATTAATATTAAGGATATATCGGATCTACTATCTCTTCCGTATATTAAGAAGCTCTCTTTTCTAAACCGTAATCAAATATAGACTAGTATAATAATAGACTATGATTTAACGCTATACCTAAATCGTTAAATTAGAGCTAGATCTTAGGAATTTATCCGTCTAGACCACCTAGAATATATATAGGTACGTCGCGAAGGTAAGCTATACTCCTTTTTATTATAAACTTCTATTAATCCTAGGAATTTTATTAATAGCTATATATATAGCGTTGTCTTCTTTAGTCTATTCTATTCCGAAGAGCCTAAGAGTACTACTCTATTAAGGATATAATGATACCCTATGGAAACCGGCTATATCCCCACTCAATGTCATCCCCTCTAGTGTTAATAGTATAAGCTCTAATTACGAGATCTTAGTATTCACCTTTAGTAACTGAATTTAGTGAATACTACTATTATATATACCGTTTTATATCCTTTAGATAAAAAAGGTTAGCCTAAGCCGGGTTCTTAGCAGTTGAACTGGCCCTACCTAGAGGTATTAGAACTTGAGGGTATACTACCTTAGCTTCCTTTAGGTAAGAAATCGGTCCCCCCGGTTGAGTATATCTAAGACGTCTAATAACATATAAATCAAAGGAGAACCAACTTATCATAATACACCGGAAGAATAGAGCGAAATCGACGAGATTGAAAACTAGGAAGACGTTATATGCGATGTTGAAGCGGGATGGCGCTGGCCGGAATTACCGACTAAAGAATATTTCTATCGACTTCTTATATCGCTCGGCTATACGGCCTAGCGTATGCCCCGTTTAAAGAATATAAAAATTAAGGTAGAGAGCTATCGCTAGTTTACCTTCTGTTTCTAGAATAACGCCGACTAGGTTATCTTGAAATGGGTGTGTTTTTTACCCATTTAGGCCAGATAGTCGGATGGTAAAGGCGTGGGACTTTGACTTGGATGATGTGAAAACTCATCCTCAATACGAGGATAAAAGTTCAGTGGTACTTCGGCTAGGGCCTTTTATCAACAACCTGTGCAGATATCGATAACAAACTGTAATATGCACTTTTGTATACTAAGTCGGGTATATACCCCTGTAGTAGGATGACACTGAGTACCAAACATCCATACAAAAATGTATATTGTAGTTAGTCATAGATGTCCGCAGAGAGTGTTGAAAAAAGCGGGTTTTATCATCTTAGAGTTGTCAACATCAGTCATTCATACCATACATTGTTCGTACAGGAGCTTTCTGTCAGAAACTCAAGGTTCTGTGGACGATCGGATCACTAGCAAGTACTAATGCCGCCATCTTTGCATATGTGAGGGTGGATTTGTTTCAACATCAGCAAATCGGGAAGGATAAGACAGTCACATTATGATTATAAGACCAGAGGATGATGTTAAAGACAGATTCTGTCTTGTGCTGACAAAGAAATAAAGCTTGCCCGCTCTCTGCGTCTCATCAAGATCAGAATCCACATCATCCGGGCTGTAATAAGACCCGGCATCACCTAAGTATGGTGAACCCCTTGAGACATGCAGTAGTGAAACTCGGGATTTACGCAAAGGGCTTCCACAGTTGCTCACACCACTCCCAAAACCGCGTTGGATATCCAAGTCCCCCATCCTCAGCTCAAGTCATCGCCGTGACGATATCTCGTCGTGGACAATCTTTATCCGGTCGAATCCTTCCCCAGGGAATGATGTAGGCGCCATTCTTCTCAAGGGTTATCTCGGATGATAAACCGGCGTAGAGTTCAGTATAGGCGCCAAACTTGGCCTCATGGAGCAAGGGGCCAATGAAAAACATGGCAACCGCCGGAGTCCCTATATAGGAACCCGCATTCAGATTACCTAGATTCTGCACCACGCTCACAATGTTGTCCTGGTCGACTTGGGATCGTCGTGCCAACTCCCGGCCCAGCAACCAGGTTCCCACCTATGAGACAGCATAGTTGCGAGTTCGATCTTTGGTTCCCTTATCCAACCCTGTGAAATCAATCCCATTCGGTGGCGAGGCACCCTCTGCTAGAAAGCTGGATGTCCACACTACGCGAACAGATCCATGGGGTGTCTCGGGCGCTGCTGCGGCTGCCCGTAGCTGCGGTCGCAGGAGCTCGGTGAATAGCAAAGTCGCGATACAGTGCATTCCAACCATAGCTTCGAATCCCTGGGCTGTTTTAGCGCCGGCTTCGACCAGGTTCGCCCCAGTTCCCGCATTATTCCAGAGGACATCAAGTTTTGATTCTTGTTGTGCAAAGGTAGTCGCTGCCCCCTTGACTGATTCCAAGTCGTTGAGATCAAGATGGAGGAACTTGATCTTGCCGGGCGACTTCGGCGCAGGTTCAACCTTCACGATGGATTGGATCGCGCTTTCGGCACGCTCCTAGGGAACAGTATTAGCCTACCAGTGCGGGTCATCGGTCTGGATTTGTTTTTGGGAAACTTGCTTTCGATCTTGATGCCATGTAGATGGTGGCACCGGAGCCATACAGGATCTTGCATAAGCTGCGCTGCGTGATCCGGGGATTTGGACCGAAGCAACAGCAACAATGCCTGAATCTCTTTAGAACCAGCCGAGCTATTCCCCTCGCCACCACCGGTCGCTGTGCGCCCAGTGGTGGTAAAGAGACTAGCAAATCGGGCATCTTGTAACAACTGCGAGTTCTCAGGCTGAGGTACCGGGATACCGGTGATTATCTGCGTGGCGGAGAGTGTTGATGGCGCATCGTCCCGTTGCTGCAGAATTGAATAGTAGAGGATGCGACGCAAGAGGCCCTCGTTGATACCCACCCAGATGCTGGTGTCAAGCTTCTGTTGCATGCCATCTCGTTCGTGAATGTAGCCACATCTTCAATAACACCGAGGTCGACTGCACAGGCCGGTTGACCCAGACGACGGTAGCTGGCGAAGGAGTCCAGGAACGCATTACCGGCGGTATAGTTGGCTTGACCCTTTTGGCCGACGACTTGTGAGATACTGGACAACATAGTGAAGAAGTCTAGCTGGAGGCCTAGATTTTCAGCTGCGTTGTGCAAGTTCCATGTTCCTTGGACTTTGCATGCTAGTGCGCCGTGGTATTTATCGACGGACATGGAGAAGATTCGATCCTAAAATACAGCCCAATAAGTTAGCCTTCATACCCTGGCTTGGGATTTAACCCTGATAGGATCAATTGCGAAGGAACTTTCTTACCCTTAGCACCATTGCGCCTTGAACAATGCCGGCAATTGGCACCGTAGTCTGCCGGAAAGCTTTCTCCACGTCATCCATGATCGAAACATCCCCCGAAAGAAGGTCAATCTCGCACCCCAAAGCCTGAATTTCTCGGACCACGCCCTGTGATTTCTCATCGGCGTGACCGCTACGCGAGATCACGGCCAAGTGCTTTGCACCGCATTTGGCCAGATACACGGCGAGAGAGGCACAAAGACCCTTTAGCCCACCGACAATTAGGTAGCATGCGTCACTGCGCAAGTTCAGAGTTCTGGGAGCTCGTCGGACCTAAATGCATGAGCACCGTATTCCAAGAATACAGCAATACGCAAAGGCAAAAGTGACTTACTGGAACTTTGACTACCGCCTCCGCTCCATCCGAAATAACAATCTTGCCGATGTGCTTTCCAGTACGCAAAAAAGCGGATAGCGGATGGGATATCCGCAAAGGAGAATTTGTGGATGGGTGCAATTGGTTTTACGTGCCCTGCCTCGATCATCTGGAATAATCTCGACATCAATCTAAAGCAAGCAGTTGTTGGTTAGCGTATGGGGGAGACCGCTAGAGCAGCATGGAGATTCTTACCGAGAGACAAGATGGTCTGGAGCTCTCTCATGCGACATATCCACTGGTCGGAATGAAATGTTTCGATCAAAAGGTTCCATTGACAGGCTGTTACGATCCAGAATGTCTTTTTTCCAATCTCGATCATTGTCCCCCCATCGGCCAATATACGCCATGATTCGTCCAGCAAATCACCCGTCAATGAGATCAGAATAACGTCCACTCCCTGGCCGTTGGTAGCATCAGATATCTGGTTAGCGAAATCAGTATTTCGTGAGTTGAAGATCCGGTCATCCGAAAGCCCGAAGGTTGATTTGAGGAACTTTCGTTTCTCGTCGGTTCCAACCGTGGCAAAGATCTGTACACCCATAGATTAGTCCTCAAGTTTTCCTTCTCAATGACCATTTCACTCCGCATCAAGTACTCACCTCAGCACCTGCATATTGGCACAGTTGGATTGCTGCGATACCAACACCACCAGCAGCGGAGTGGATGAGAACGCGCTGGCCCCTGACCACATTTCCCAGATCAAACAGGGAATAAATTGACGTCAAGTAGACTGCTGACAAGGTGGAGGCATGTTCAAAGGTCATCCAGTCTGGAATACTATGAACCCGCCCCGGGGTTGTCTGGACTCGGTTGGCAAACATTCCCTTGTCAAACACCACAACACGTTGTCCCACTGCAAATGAGGTTACTTCTGGAGAGACCCTAGTGATCACACCTGCGCCTTCACCTCCAAGAGTGTGCTCATTACCAGGAACAATTCCCATGGTAACCACAACATCCTTGTAGTTCATGCCGGTGGCAAAGATCTCAACTTCATCAAAGCCAGCAGGCAACGTCAGGGAATCTACCGGAAGTTCCCAATAGTGCACTGAGTCAATGTTACCTAATCATTCAGCACTCAGGCGGATGCGGGCGTCATTAGCATGTAGGTCGACTAATTCCGTTTTCTGGGAACTAAGTTCCTCATCCTAAGGCCAGTGAGTGTCGTGTCTGGAAGGATTCGGCTCACATGTAGAACGCCCCCACGCTCTACAAACTCGCTCTCAATCAGTTGCTTGGCCTGAGGCTCGGCCATGAGAGTGAGACAAGATTCGATAGCTGTCACCGTGGTGGGCTTCAATGGCTGCTCCACATCCAAAACAACTAAGCGGAGGAGAAGTTCCTCAGCTCGCAAAACGCGGAAGAAACCACTAATGGCAGGTTTGGTCGGATTGGTGACATCCATCTGGGCGCCAGAGGTAACCCATAAGATCTGGCATTCCTTTTGAATGAGGTTCTGCAAGATCTGCCATTGTCTCTCGTCCAGAGAATCCATGACAGTAGTTGAAAGTTCAAGGATGAGAACAGATTCATTGGCCTTGGTACCGTTCGCCACATCTACAACGCTATCAACAATCCAATTTCCATTTCCAAAAGATTCAACGATCTGTGGGGGAGCTTTTTGGGCGGTTGGCTGGAGACTGACGTGTTTGATCACTGGCCGCGCAGAAATATGATCCTCTTTATTGGTTCTTATGCTCACCGGTGAGCACAGATAAACGTTATCGCTCAACGTGTGAATGTTGCCAAAATTGTTGTCGGAAAGGGCAGCTTGAATATCTATGGTGGGCGTAGAGGTCTCTTGGGCAAATTACCAGGACCAAACCACTGCCGTGCATGGACAAATCCACACTTGCTACAACTGCCCTCACTTCCTCCGTTGATGCGGAGGGCGAAACCGTTACGATGGCCAGATCGAATTGCACGCCATCCAGAATTTCCTGAGAAACGGCGGGGTTAATCATGGTAAACTCTGCATTGGGGGCCCGTGACGAATATTGATCCTGCGCGGCAACGAGGGCCGTTGGGTCGGTTGATGCAAAGTGGTACTGTGAGCATGCATCTCGGATTGGGCTGGATGACGGCGAATTGCTTTGAAGCCAAATGCTGGTCGCATCTTCTGCGCCAAGATTGACCTCCAAGACTTTCAACTTAGGATATTTGTGAGCGACAAGATCCACAACTTTTGAACAAGGTTTTGTTGCGTAGTAAGGATCGGTGTTTCGGAATCGACTGGATTGAAGTCATCTCATGGCTCTGGCGTGTTCGTGAGGACCTGCTGTAAAATGACCGTAGGTGAAGATAGTAAGGTTGAAATGTCTGCATTCCAGGAAGTTCTAGTGAAGACGTGCTCAGGCCGCTCATCCCCGCTTGTTTCCAGCTCTCTGAATTGAAGTCCCTTCATCTCCAAGAGGAGAGATCCATCCTTGGGATTATAAACGGAACAATCCGTTCCGTAGTTTCTAGGGGTATCGGTGCGCCCGATCCCCAGGTAATGTGCCGATGCAACGGAGATAGCCTCATTTGGAGATTGCTCTTGTGCAGTAATGACAAGACTGCTAATGACAGCCGGCACCAAAACAGCTCCGACGGTTGTTCTATCGCCTCCCCACAGAGCTGGGGAAACAGTTTGAAAACATCCATCAATGCAAGCTGGGTGCATGGGATAGATGGACTGCCCATAAGATGACTCTGGGGGTTGCAGAGAAACTGTCGACCGGCTCTTCCTCTGACCAGTGATTGTCTCCACTTGTAAGTGTTTCTGGAACGCGGGTCCAAAGTTGAACCCAACATCTGCCATGACTTTGTACCACGAACGTGCTGAGTTGGCGAACCGCAGCTTCTCTACAGCACCTTCCGGCGCATGCTGGTCACTGTAGTCCGTGTCAATCCGTACAAGGCCGGTGCAGTGTTCAACCCAAGCCATTTCTCTCAGCGAAGAAACTTTGAACTCGAACCACATGCGCGTCGAGTCAGGAACAGGAGTCAAGGAAAGCATAATGCGAGACGCGACATCAGGTTCCAGTACCAGAGCTCAGACTAATTTGACATCTCGGAGCCTAAACCGATACCGAGCTGGTGCCTCACCTTTCCAACTAGTCATCCAAGCCGTCTGGTACTCTGCCTCAACGGCTATGGCAATATACCCAGCTCCTGGGAACACAACTTGACTTCCTAATTTGGGCCTATGGCTTCCGCTGTAGAGCTATTGTTGTGATAATGGGGATTGTTTGCTGTGCGATTGGGAGCATGACGTGGCTCAGAGTACCTAGCTTGGATTTCAGATCCGCTCCAGCTGGCTGATTCGGTCTCTATAGACACTTTGTCGCTTTCTGTGTAGATGATATAGAGATCTATGGGTTCATCGTCCCATTTCCAGATGTTTTCATTTGCCTGCTTTTGCTTCTGCTCCTGTTTTTTCTCTATCGAGAATCAAAACTCAGTTCTATCTTCAATTTCTCGGCCGTAGTTCCACGCAAGAATTGACTTACCTCGGTATATCCGTTGGGCCAGCCTGTTTTGCAGTCGGCGGCGTTCTGTTGGAGTGGAGGAATCCAAATAAATCTCCATGAGTTGCAACTGACCCAAGTCCATGATAAATTCCAGCTCCAACGCGTGCTCCGCTTTTGTGACAATAATTGAGGTTAAGGGGGGTTACAATGACTTCGTGGGCAATGGCAAGAGACATTCACGACGTTGAGCTACTTATCACAAATCCGATATTGATCCGCTACCTCACAATCTAAGCCATTCTCCGTAACTCACTGGTTCTCAATAGTTTCTTTCTTTCGTAATTCAATTTCAGAATGAGGACAACGTCCATGGATTCCTATTGGCAGTTTAGCTTGGCTGTTCCTGGGTGTCTAATACTCCGTGCTTATGGTTAACGTCACTGTTCCCTCAAATACGAGGTCCGTGTGTTCCCTAACACCCCCTGCCATCCCCCTATGTTCTATCTACTTGAAAGTCTTCTCGGTCTACTGTCATTCAAAGGTGCTTTGGGCTAATGAAGTATTCGTCCCATTCCTGAGTGATCAAAGTTGTAAAGTGGTAGATTCAAAATGTTCCAATCAGGTTGAGTTCCTTAAGTATGGGGGGAAGGGGGCTCAGGGCACCTAGGTATCTAGATTTCATTCAATCTTCTCAACCACGCTGCAATTATAATTATATCCATGGATAAAGCGGACAAAGCTGAGTTCTAAGGTTATTTTCTCTCTTCTTTTCCCACCTTAATTGTTATTGCTAAAGATTTTAGCGTATTTCGAGTATTAGAAAGGGTAGTAGTTGCAGGGGTTCAAACTCAGGAAGTCTTTTAATGGGGCGAAGGGGCATAGCGCTCATTTTGATGGCTTGGTGCTTTATTTTGGCCTAGAATCTACTGTCAGAATGGGATATGGTCTAGTGGTAGAATTGGCCGTATTTTTTCCCACATCTACCTTAATTTAGACCGCTTCTAGGCCGCTCTACAACAGTGCCAAGCGCCCAATACACCTCCGTGCATTGGTACGCCTCGGAAGATATATATAGTGTGAAGGAATTTTAATCCATTTAAGAAGGCTTTAGTAAGGAAATTAAATAACTATACTAAAGAAAGAAAGGACATAGGACATACTATCGTTCTATATATAACTTCGTATATAGTATCGTTTAAATATTCTTCTTCCATATTGTCGAGAATTAGTACGGAATAGATTGAGACATTGCCCATCCCTAGGCACGAGGAGGTGGGCATTTTGAAATTAGAGGCCCTTATTAAAATTAATGTAATAATTACCCGATTAGTAGTTAACTAGTTAGACAATATTACGTACATAATCAGCTCTTGGCAGTCTCCACCCTGCCAAGACTGTCCACAAATGTCTTGGCGACACTAAAAATATCTCCACTTTAATGGGTGGGCATTGTCACAGTCAAGTCCTAGTAATGAACTAAATAAGCTAGATTTACATTGAATATTTGTACTCTTTCTCTTACTTTATCTAATTGGAGGGCTAGTATTTTTTATAGGATACTGTTCGAGGTCAGGTCACGAGATCTCAGTACACTTAGTCTCGCATACTAGATAGTTCTCTTCCTTTCCTTAACGCAATTCAGAGATTTCTAGTGTACTCCTATCTTTATAGCAGTTCTACTGGCGTCATCTCTAACAGATACCTACAAGGTACCTAAGTAACTTTTATATAGGCAAGTCATACAAAGGATACATAATTTCTAGATCTAGTATTCAATGTAAATCTGGCGTCTTTCTCGGTCTATTAAAATGAAGCTTTTTATACTAAACACAAAGTGTACTTCAAACCACCCTATAAAGTGGAGATATATGATTTTATATGGTATAAAAGGTTTTATTCTCCCTCTCCTGCCTGCCGCTATCAGAACCAGGGTACTTCGCTTATTAAGGGGCTGTAATCAAAGGTTATTCATAGTTAGTTAGATGCTTTTTTTTACCACTGTGAATACATCACAAAAGAACATTTACAAGGCCGCCTAAGCGGCGAACTATTCTTACAGTGCCTATGACCGTTCCAAGCGCCCGATACCATCCATAGTTACCTGGCATTGAGTGCTTTTCAGCCAGGCCAGAGTAAGGCATTCAGCATCAATTATGACATGCGAACCGCCCACGGTCCACGCCCAGGCGGGTCTGGAAGCTTACCTAAGATATTTACATCTCCTGGGCTTCATACTTAATTTATGGATATGTTTATCATTTTCTCTTCGTTCTTCATTCCTGTGCTCTTGTAGCACTGTCACAGATTGGTCGGTCATCAAATAAATGCGAACGTAACCCGTGATGTGGCCATACTTGAGCAGTTAAAAATAGACAGCTACTTCAGCCCCTCCAGGGCTGCAGTGCAAGGCGCAGCAAGTGCGAATCATGTGCGACGAAAAGGCACCTTCAGGCATGGCCAAGTGATTACAGGGGACTCTAAATAAACGTATCGCAATGGGGTTTTCTCCTTGGCAATATGTTCCATCCCAGCTTTTTATTCCAATCTTATATTCGTTCTCCATATATTCGCTTTGATCTAATACGCCAGACGTTGGATTAGATCGCGTCAGCAAAAGACCTCGGCCTCCTTTAGCGCATAGCTAGAATGAGGTTTCTATCGCGACGACAGGTTCCAGCCAAAAACCAGGATAATTCAAAAACCTTCCCGTCTGGTATCAAACTGTTCTACGCCCCAGATAACGGAGATATCGAGTACGTACATTCTTGAATCCGAAAAAGAAGCCCCTAATATTCTCTTTTAGCATTATATTTATCCACGGTCTTACCGGCGATCGCGATGCGACGTGGACTGCCAGTGACGCGACCGATCCCTGGCCCAAAACCCTCCTACCACCTATAATTCCGACAGCCCGCATCCTTACCTTCGGATACGATGCAAATGTTGCCGACTGGAAAGGAGTTGTGTCGCAGAGTCGTATCGCCAACCACGCGGGGAATCTGCTAACCTCTCTCTCAACGTACCGAGAGAACGACGACACGGTAGGACGTCCAGTTCTGCAGATACGGCAGCATCCTGACACATGCAGAATGAACGACCAATTATATTTGTCTGCCATAGCTTAGGAGGGTTGGTCTGCGAGGATGTAAGATGGATACCCCACTTTGATTGCGTGAGCTGCTCTAACACCCCAGAGAGGCCTTGCTCGCATCGAACCAACGCCCCGAGCGGCACCTCCGTAATATCCTCCATTCCACCCGCGGTATTATCTTTCTCGGCACACCGCATCATGGATCTGGCCTTGCTAGATGGGCGGAGGCCTTATCCCGATCCATCGGCCTCGTGAAAAAGACAAATTCCAAAATAGTCGGTGTGCTCAACCGCGATTCCGAGGTGCTTGCCCGGATTCAAGACAGCTTTCACACGATGGTCAAGGCACGAAGCTCACAAAAGCTACCGCCGATTGAGATTACTTGCTTCTACGAGGAAATGCCTTTGCCGGGCATTGGTTTAGTGGGTTAAGCAGATCCAGGATCCTTTCTGAATACTAACGACGAGGCAATAGGTTGTACCACAGGATTCAGCAATCCTGCCAGGCTACATCCCCATCGGAATCCACGGCAACCATATAGATATGACTAAGTTCACTGGTTCGACTGACCCTGGACTTTTGGCTGTTTGTGGAGAGATGAGACGGTGGATTAAAGACCTAAAGACAGGTAACAAGTACCACACGAATCAGCTACTGCTGGACTCTACTCTAGATGAGGACCCAGGTCAAGCCAAGCAGTATAGTGAGAACAATCCTCAGTACAATAGCCTCGGGGGCATGCGGAAAATCGAAGCCGGTTCTTACCATGAGGTCAATGGTAATCAGCATCAGCAATTCGGTACAGTCCCCCCGAAGAGTCTACTGATGGAAGCGCGGGATAGATAATTTGACCTAAGCGAAGATTAACGTGGAGAATAGTACACAATCATTTTGAAGCTAAGAACATCGCGAAGTGTTCGTCTTGTCTACCCCAGGAAATTCCTAGTATCTAATATTTTTCTTAAGCCTATCATATAATCCCCTTCCCCCGAAACGATGATATAGTCGACCGCACCGCTATCATCGCCAAGGTCAACGCCTTCTTTCAGTCCACTGAATCCCATAGCGCTGCCCTTTGGGGTCTCGGCGGATCCGGGTAAGGTTAATTATGCTCGCATAGATAGGCTAGCTAATGGTCGAAGGAAAACTCAGGTAGCGCTCGAACTCGCCTGGCGCCAAAGCCAAAGCAAGGATCCTGCGTGTTCCGTATTTTGGGTCCATGCTGATAACCAGGCGACGTTCGCACAGGACTACAAGGCTATCGCGGGCAAGCTAGGCCTCCCAGACGACCTCGACGGCGAAAAGCTTCTCACGGCAGTGCGTGACCGTATCGAGAGCCAGCCACGTTGGCTGCTTGTTCTCGATAATGCCGACGATCTAGCAGTCTTCGGTGTCAGCCGGGCAGTGAGTTCGGTGGATAAACCCCCAAGCCTAGACAGCTATGTACCAAAAGGAGCTAGCGGAAAGGTGCTGTGGACGAGCCGGGATAAACAGATCGTTGGTACCCTTGTCGGTGCGCAGTGTGGTATTCAGGTCGGCCGTATGAGTACTGATGAGGCGATCCGTCTCCTTGGGAAATTGAAGAACGGCAAATACGAAGTAAGCAGTGCAGAGGAGAGCGATACAAGAAAATTGCTTGAAGAGCTCCAGTGGCTACCACTAGCCATATCGCAGGCCGGTGCGTTTATGAGGCGAAGATCAATGCCAGTAGGGCAATATCTATCTCGACTATTAGCAGGACAGGATCGATGGCGAGTCCTTAAAGCGGAGCAGTTCGATCGGCACCGACGGCGTGATGTTCCGAACAGTGTTTTAGAGACGTGGAGCATATCCGTCGAGCACATCCGGGAAGAAGACGAAATGGCGTATAGGATCCTCCAGGTCATTGCGTACGTCAACAACCAAAACATCCCGATTGAGCTTATGGCGGCAGTGGATACGCTAGGCAACGAGAGACAGGAGCCTTGGTCCCTTGAGAGCCAAGATAAGTTCATGGAATCTATCACGCGGCTAAGAGAATTTTCATTTCTCAGTATACGTGAGGAAGAAGGGGTTGTGCCGCAGTACGAGATACATAAGCTTGTGCAAGAGGCTACACGATACGGGCTCAGTGTGAGGAGCACGGAAGATGCGGCATACTTCTCGAATGTGGCGCTACAGGTTGTGACAAGGCTTTTTCCTCAGTCAAAGCCGGAGACGTGGCGGGAATGCGAGAAGTACGTTACCCATGCGGTGGAATTGGGTAAGTGGGCGGAGGTTTGTAAGAGGGGCATAGAGGTATCGGATCTTTTGGCCCGGGTTTCGGACTATTTCTACGACCGTGGTAGGTGGATAGATAAGCAGCCGGTCGATGAGAGGACGTACGAACTGCGACAGCAGGTGCTCGGCGAGAAACATCCCGACACAATCCAGAGTTTAGCGAACCTTGCAAGCACCTACTACGCACAGGGCCGGTATAGGGAGGCGGAGCCGATGGATATCAAGGCCATAAAGCTACAGCGGCAGGTTCTCGGCGAGAAACATCCCGACACAATCCAGAGTTTAGCAAACCTTGCGGTCACCTACCACGCACAGGGCCGGTATAAGGAGGCTGAGCCGATGGAGGTCAAGGTCTTGAAGCTACGGCAGCAGGTGCTCGGCGAGAAACATCCCGACACAATCCAGAGTTTAGCAAACCTTGCGGGCACCTATCACGCACAGGGCCGGTATAAGGAGGCTGAGCCGATGGAGGTCAAGGCCTTGAAGCTACGGCAGCAGGTGCTCGGCGAGAAACATCCCGACACAATCCGGAGTTTAGCAAACCTTGCGGGCACCTATCACGCACAGGGCCGGTATAAGGAGGCTGAGCCGATGGAGGTCAAGGCCTTGAAGCTACGGCAGCAGGTGCTCGGCGAGAAACATCCCGACACAATCCGGAGTTTAGCAAACCTTGCGAGCACCTACCGCGCACAGGGCCGGTATAGGGAGGCTGAGCCGATGGAGGTTAAGGCCTTGAAGCTATACCAGGAGGTGCTCGGCGAGAAACATCCCGACACAATCTGGAGTTTAGCAAACCTTGCGGGCACCTACCACGCACAGGGCCGGTATAGGGAGGCTAAGACGATGGAGGTTAAGGCCTTGAAGCTATACCAGGAGGTGCTCGGCGAGAAACATCCCGACACAATCCTGATTTTAGGAAACCTTGCGGGCACCTACCACGCACAGGGCCGGTATAGGGAGGCTAAGACGATGCAGGCCCGGGCCTCGGAGCTACAAGAGCAGGTCAAAGCCTCGGAGTTGCGGGGGCAGGTTCTCGGCGACGAAGATCCCGATACAATTTAGAGCACTTTTGCGACTTAGGAAGCCAGACTGTACGATATATGCTACTCGAATGCCAGGTGTTTGATAATTGAAGAAGAAGATGGTCGACCAACTGGATGGATGTGGTGGATCAATGGCCTCAGGGGACGATGAGATGCGTGTCGGATTTCATGGCAGTCAGTGAACTCCATTGTCATGGGAATGGAGAGTAATATAAATGCGACTGTTAGTGAGGACGGTACTCAAACAAAACGAATCACCAATCAGGTCATAGACAAGCCAGAGACTGAGGAAGAACCGCACAGAGAATGACCACCGGGCCTATGCCATCCTCCTCAACGTTAGTACCAAGCGACCAGTGGACAAGAACCGCAGTCGATATCAACAGCGAGGAGGAGGATGATGATGTGCCATGGTGAGTTCAAAACCCGGATGTGTTCAGTTCCCAGACTTGGAAGAAATTGGCGCAGGTGCGTGCAGAAGATGATCCTAGTAGTGTGGGACTTTAGTGATGCGAGAAATCAGGAGGGAACGAGCAGGGCTTTGAGGATGTGGAGTCGACGGTGATGTAGAGGGGAGCATTGCATAGTGCGGTGATGCCAATCCAGAGAGACAGTGGATAAGTTGTTGCCGCGGCGCAGCATCATGGAGACTTGCGGGCAATCCAGAAATGGTCTCTGAGGCATAGAAATCTCGGTCTGCATCTACGGTCTGCGCATGTAATAACCGTGCTTTTTTTATTTTGTGAAAAGTCCACTGTAATTGGGTTTAGCCAAAACATATTGCGTTCACCACTCGCTGTCCTCCTTACGTAGTGCGGCTTTGATTAACTTCAAATCCAGCACAGACGATGATTTTATTTCATAGAAGTGTCACGAATTACAAACATAACGCGAGATGTATTATATTTCGTTTCGCTATAGCGATGAGTGCCTGTCGTTAGAATCTAGTGGTGGCATTGCAGCCAGTGGTTTGGTAAAGAGTTGCCCTCTATTATTCTCGAAAAGTGAGTTATGGACAAACAAATTATATTTGGTACACTACATGGTGACCGCTTGGAACTCGGTACAAGAATAGTCGGCCACTTATGTGGCCTTTTCATGTCTTCTTGGGGTTTTTTTCGGATGCTCTTTTTAAACGTCTTTGTAGGTGTATAGGTGCTGCTCCATGTTCCGGCTTCCGCAGTTTCTAGTCGCTCATTATCATCGTGAATGGCGCCAAAGGTCGTGGAGTGGCAGATTCCGAGGTCAGTTTTCGAGGTTCGCTCGTTTGTGGGTTTGGCTGTATACTTCTGTATAGCGGTCAAAAGAATTCTGCAAATTCTAGTCAAAATCCTAAAAAAGGAGTATGCATTGAGACTATCCACGAGCCAGTCCCGTGCGGTTGGGTGTAAGGGTTTAACGTATTGAATAGTACTTGCAAAAGCCAACCCCAAGCCCTAGTTTAGGGAATCACAACACCTACTCCTACTCCTTCCCCCTCTTCCTATAAATCCTCCGCATCACTATTCACCATTGCGACATAAGCAGTTAGCATTTTTGTGACGCTAGGTCGGCCATTTATAGAACACTGCACGAAGAAGTAGTTGAGGAACAAAGAGAAGGCCCGAACCTGGTGGAAAGATTTCATTAAAAAAAGAAGAGACACCTATGGAAAACACCACTTCTGGAAGAAGTTAAGGAGGCTTTGGACAAGCTCACTGTTCATCTGAAGAGAGTGAGGATGAACGACTGGTAGCGGATCAGGCAGCCAGGCAAAACGCCCTGGAGGACGAAGTCAAGGAGATTGGACGGCAGGTGGAGAGACTCACGGGGTACTACTACATGTAGAGAATCTATGAACTAGTATATTTTATGCACTAAATGCTAAGAAACCTTAAGAGGTCAGTTCTTTTCCTCTTCGGGCCATGTGGAGACCTCGGGGAGATTCTTTGTTCACACGTCACCTCTTGACTCTTAACATCTTCTCACTCTCCAGCTCTTCAGTTCCCTTTTTTTGAATTCAACTATACTCTACGCTTGTATTCTATAGCTACAAGCTTGCAGTTATGTTCAAAAAGAAGCCTACGGTAAATGATCTCTGCCCCGCACTACCCCTCCAAGCCTTGCTGGGTTTGCAACACTACCATTTCAAAGGACTATATGCTAAGATAGAATAGATCAAAAACCTTTCTCCACTGCGGTCTTCTGATCGTAGGAAGATTGCCGACCAAATTATCAAAGAATACCAGATCCCCGTCACCTCAAACCCCACCAAAGCAGACCCGTCCGAGCCCAGCACAGCATCTGCCCCCGCCTTAAGCCTTACATCGATCCGAAATGCCCTACTGCCCGATAACACTCAGACTGCCCGTTTTACAACCACCGCTGGTCCAGACCTTCGCGAACTTCAAGGGATCGTATATATTGGTACACATCCCGACGGCGATGAGCGGGTGCTATGGTTCAAGCTGGAACACGGTCCGGGGGCCGACAAACGATTATACCCAACTGTCTACACTTTATGGCACAATCCCAATTTAGTCCCGTTACTCTACACCCCGGAGTTTGTGATGGGAAAGCTCCATGGTGGAGCTGACTTAATGACACCGGGCCTGGCGAATGAACCTCCATTCCCCCAAAGAGCGGTCAAGGGCGCCGTTGTCGCGGTCGCAAGTGTGGACAGACACACAGTGCCACTTTTTGTAGGCATCTGTGAGATCGACGTTTCGGCATTGGGGGAGGTACAAGGCACAAAAGGCCATGCGGTCCGTGGATTGCATTGGGAGGGTGACGAACTTTGGGCGTGGAGCTCTGCGTCACTGCCTGGTCGTCAGGCTCCAGAGTACTTGCAGGGCTGGGACGAGGATGAAACTGAGGGTGTTAAGGAGCAAATAGAGGAGTTGAGAATCGAGGATGGTGGGGCTACAACCGCCTCTGGGGACATTGAAACATCAAGCAATGACCCAATCGCGTCAGAAGAGCCCGTGACCGAGGAGGAGGCACCCACAACAGAGGGTAAGCCATCCATACCTCCCTTTTTTATCAGCCAGCAGTTGGAGCCAGCAGCTGGATTTTGAAATGAAATCAACCAAGTACTGACAAATAATAGAAATTGACGAGGCATTCGTTAATGCTTTTGTCTACGCCCTCTACAAGCTCAAGCAGGATAATCCATCAGCAACGGACCATGGCCTTCCACTGCCAATCACAGCTTCGGCATTGATCGCCAACTTCACTACTCCTTATCTTCCTGTGCACACCCCCCAACAGGCTCAGCATTACAACATCAAAAAAACCAGTTGGAAAAACGTCAAAAAGTTCATGAAACATCTGGACAAATCGAAACTTGTCAAAACCAAAGAACGTAACGGCCAAGAAACCGTCATTTTGGATGTCGACTTTGGGGACCATCGTGTCGACCGATTTGTACCATACAGACTGCCTTCACCACGTGCCTTGGAGAACAGTAAGGCGGCTGCACCTGAAGGCAAGAAGTCGGCTGCGCCGGATGGCTCCGACCCTTCGGTGGGCCAGACGATTACTGTGCAAAGTCTATATCGGCCATCAGGAAAACTAGTGCCAACCATTTTCCCTGCCCTCGCCGCCAGCGACACAAGTAACTTCTACAAATACTCCGAAGTATCCAGTCACTTGGATCAATACCTTGAATCCCAAAATCCACCGATCATCTCAAAAGAAAACCGGCGCATCATAACCGTCAACCCATTCCTTGCGAACACCATCTTCAATTCATCATCAGCCGAAGATAAAGGGACACTTGCACGCGGGAAGGTCACTCGCGATGGTCTCTTTAAACGACTCATGGATGATAAAACACTGCTGTCGCCGTACCATGTGGTTTTGAAGACCGGTCAAACTATCGCTGACGTCAAGCCAAAAGCAGGCACCGCACCGAAGGTCCATGTCACCCTCGAGAAGCGGACAGGTTCTAAGACCGTTACCAAAGTCATGACTCTAGAGGTCTTTGGCGTCATTCCCAGTCTGTTGGCACAGGAGCTGCAGAAGAAGTGTGCCGGTAGCACTAGTGTCACACAGGCTACTGGTGCTCCAAAGGGGATCATGGAAGTCTTGGTTCAGGGTGACCAGCGAAAGGCCATTGAGACGGCCCTTGTTCGCCGTGGACTCAAGCCGCAAATGATCGAGGTTGTGGATAAAACCAAAAAGAAGAAATGATCGCCACGCAAAAGATCAGTTGTTCATATCACTGCTAGGTAGAGAGCACTTTTCTTGTACAAACGATAAATCAAGCATGCAGCATACTGCTAGAAATGAAGAAAGATACTCATTATGAGATTGGTTAGACTATCTTCCCAGATAACCCCAGCTCATCACCACAAACCCATCCAAATCGCAGAAACTCAGTTGTTTCCACCCAACATTAAACTAACCGTCACTGTCGCCTCAGTTTCTCGTCATGGCTCTATGTTCCATTCGTCAATTTCGATTCACTCTCCCCTCCCTGCCTTCCATTACCATTACCATTGCCATCCCTACCGACCCCCTGTGTCTCCGTAATATTCATATCACTAGTATCAACAGCCTCCCAGATATCATCTTGAAACAAATACTGCATCAAAGCCTCATCCGTGCGACGAGTCCCATCCGCCATGAGCGTATCGATTCTGTGAACCAGATCATACGTAACGAAGATCGCTCCGCCTCTCGAGTCTGCCGCCATTGCCTCTAGTCTCTGGCGCTCCTCATCTGTCAGACGACTCGCGTGGCCCGGGTTATCGGTGTAGATTTCTGTGCGTCGTGTGGTATCTGCGCGAGGTGTATTGTCTGGTCGGTGTTGTGTGGACCCGCGTATGGTGATGATAGTAGGTTCAGTGCTTGGTCTTGGGGTGGAGGTACTGCTGCTTTCAGCTTCATTGGTATCCTCCGGGGTTGACATTGTGTATCTTTGGGCGTCGGTGGCTTTCTTAGGTGAGGGTACGAGGGTGCCGAATGGCTTGGAAATAGTAGTTGCGGTTTATTTGTTAGTGTAGATGGAATTTATCATATGGCAGAGAGCGAGATCGAAGAATGACCCGAGATTTTATACAGCGCATGATTTCGTTGCTGTCCACGTGCTCCCACGCTTCCTTGTACTTCAGGACTTTGTTAGAATAGAACATGTTCCATTTGCAGAGTCGTACTACTTGAGATTACTATAGTCCAAGTGGGCTTGGGGGTTATTATTTTCTGCCAGACTAGAAACCTTACAATAAGGATATCTAAATCTGGTGGGGATAGTATGAGGGCTCTTTGTTATCAAAATATCCGTTGATTGTGCTGAACTGATCTGGTCCGTGATTCCAAATTGAGGATTACATTTGTCCTGGACTCGCACGAAACTGTCCACACATACGACGAATCGGACCCTACCTCTAGACGACGGATTGTTTCTAGGACTGAGCATTGGAAGCGATAAAAGAAAATTGGAAGAGGAAGCTGCGGGTCTGTGTGGTAGCAAAAATGCATCAAAGGTAGAGGGGAAACAAATCTTCGAGCTATTAAGAAGATTGAGACTAGGGGATCTACCAATGTTCATTACATTTAGGAGTCGAAAGCTATCGCGAAGTTCTCGCATTCAAGAGTTTATTTAATTATCCCCAGAATCATGATGGAAACTGTTTCCGAGCTACCTCTGTTACGAGCGATGTTTCGTCGAGTCATTTGGATGGTACGAGAGTCCCGATGCTCTGTTCATCGTGATGGAGCATCTTGAACTAGGCGATCCATGGCACTATTTGTATGACCGACTACCACTTCCTGCAACAGAAGGGAGATTGCTAGTCAGATCCTTGAGGGTCTTCTTATGATGCGTGAGAATGAATTTGCTCACGGGGATTTGGAGCCCGCTTTGAAGAGAGAATCTCTACAACCTTGAAGGGCACCCGCGGCTACATAGCTTCCGAGCTGTACGGATTCACCCGGAATGGCAGCCCGTATTCCAGTGATATCTGGTCTCTCGGTACGATTGTGTTGCAATTAGTCACGAAGGAACTTGTCTTCCCCTAAGACTCCTCCACTTGTCAAATATGAAAGGAAGTCTAGCCTATTATGAGCATTGATTCTCTTACAGCAGTCTCGTGCGACCTAAATTCGTGCCCTATCTATACCGAGGCTTTGGGGCTGGATACGCTGTGCGGCTTTACGTTGAATGTCTATGCGGTGTTAGTAGAGCATTAAATTACACTTTAATCTACGAGATCATAAAATTGAGCAGTCCAAAGATTCCATTCGTCAAGGTAAAGCAGGAAAAAAAGGCCAAATCCGGCCTATCGTCTCCTATATGCAAAATGCAGGGAGGAAATAGAATATAAAAAGAAATCCGTGACGCGGTGTTGTTACAATCAGTTCCAATCGAACCATCGACAAAAGGAGAGGATACCCGATCCAAGTTTCACAGATGTTCTGTAACAAGATTCACACCGAGAAGATATATAGAAATAGATGTAATGCATCCACAACTATATGTCCACCACGTGGGGCGAACTTTTCAGTGAGCCAGGGCACGGGCGTGCACCTTGCTGTCAGAGACAAGCCACTTCAGGGTCGAGCGGATAGCCTCGAGGAGCTTCTCGGCGCTCAGGGAGCTGAGGTACGAGGAGTAGTCGCCGGAGCCGGAAGATCCAGAGCTAGAGCTGGAGCCGGAGCTGGGGGCAGTGGTGGGCGCAGCGGTGGCACTGGCACTGGCGCTAGACCCGGAGTCGTCACCACCGGAGACGGGGGAGGTGCTCTGGGCAGACTGGCCACTGGCGGTGGAAGTGATGGAGACGCTGTCGGCGGGGGCGCTGGCAGTCTGTGTATCAGGCTCGTCAGTAAACTGAGGAGCAGAAGCAGTGGAAGTGGCAGTCTCAGTGACGGTGGAAGGAGCCTCAGTGGACTCGGAACCAGGCTCACTAGCGGTGGAAGCGGAGACAGAAGATGTGGGAGCAGATGAGGGAATGGGGGTGCTGCTGGGGCTGAAAGTGGGACGGGCAGTGCGGGTGCGGGTGAGGTGGCGTGAAGAGGAGCTCTGGATAGGAGAGGCACTCACGGTTGAGGCAGCAGTAGGCGCGGCAGTGGTAGCTGGGGCGGTAGTGGTCGCGGAGCCGGATGAAGAGCCGGAGGCTGCGCCAGTGTACAGAGCGGGACCGGGGATCTTGTAGGAGTCCAGCGAGGTGTAGATGCTGATCTTGATGCCGGGGTCGGTGGCCTTGTAGAGGGCAGTGCCGAGGACACCGTCAGGAGCATCGCTGCCGCCGCCGGTAACCTTCAGGTTGAGACACTGGGGGTAGTTCTGAGCACCGTTCTCCTCGCCGGCAGAGTGCAGGCCGATGATCTCGTGACGGAGAACGTAGTTGCCAGCGGCGATGGCGCTGGGGATGGTGACAGTAGCGCTGTTGTTGTTGGCAATGAGATCGTCAGTTGCCCACTTGCCGGGGACGTTGCTGTCGTCGATCAGACCGGCCTCGGCGATCTTGAAGAACTTGAGGGTGGTCTTGTCGACCTTGGAGCAGTCGCCATTGCAGTTGGCCATGTAGGTGATGACCGGGCCGTGGTGGCTCTCGGGCCACTCGGTCCACTGGAGCTCGACCTTACCACCGGCCTTGACCTCGGCGGAGATCGCACCAGGGGTGGCCTCCTTGTGGCAAATAATGTCGGGGCTAGAGTAGCCGCTGCCGTCGATGAAGCCGAGGTCGGTGGCCTTCTCGGCCCATCCAATGGTTTCGGGCGACTTGTCCATGTAGGAGTAGCTGTTCACGAGGTAGCCGCCGTAGTAAGTGCCATCAACAACAGCACCCGACACATAACCGTGGCCAGCGACCATGGCGGCCGAGCTAAGCAGGAGACCAGCAATCTTTGACATAGACATCTTGAAGTTGGATAAAAACGCACAGCGTTTGATTGGAAAAGGACCGAAGTATCAAAGGTGAGCGAAAAAAGAATGAAAAGGGGACTTCAGTCAATGAAGTCAACCCGAAAAGAGAATGAATGGTACTAGACCTTGAAATGAATGGAATGCAGAGGATAGATGAGAAAAACCAAGTGGCCTGGATGCCAGGGCCTTATATATGTACGTTCCCTCGCCGGCATCATTCCCATTTCGACCAAAGCGGCACACTCCGTTGCCAAGAAGCACGTATCACAGAGGGGATGACCCAAGTTCGACGGAGGTTTCTAGCATAGGACAGGGATTCCACTCTGTGGGTGCAGTCATAGGTGGACAATTGTGAGCGACCGAGACATCTGCATCTAGGAGGTGACAGATAGATGAAGCATGTGGTTTTCGAAGCGCCGGATACTCCCAGGGCTGCACTAGCGCGCAACCGTAATTAAGCTATGCTCCATCAGGGTCGGTGTCTCGTATTTTCTAGTTAGGGCTGTCGATCGTGGGCAGTTTGTCTGTGACAATCCGAGTTTCAACCCCTTAAAGTGAGGACATCTCCGCTCTTCCAACATTTTACGAAGCAAGTTTTTGTTCTGTTTCGGGGAAACCTCGTTAAATTCTGAAATATTCTGAAGCTTCAGGCGAACTTCAGAGAATGTGCTATCCCACAATGCCTTCTGGTAGGTCTAGTATCTACTACTATGTTGTATGCTGAAACAGGTATGGTGGGAACAGAAATAATGTACATGGCCAACTTCAACGGCTTTTTTTTTTTCTTTTAATCCAACCCGCTTCATTTGAACAATGTTCCAGGCTTTGAGATAGCCATTGTTTGCCCCTTCGAACGCCAGGGGTCGTTACTCCATAAAGCCTCTGCGCTTAGAGAAATTCTGAAACGCTCCGCCTGCATGTCCGTCTCCTGCATGATACGGTCCAGCTGTCCACCAAAATCTTGGAACGGTCCGTGTCCAGCGCTTCTGTCAGATCTAAATTGCAATATGAATTGCAAAAGCACCAAATCTACAAGAAAGTTGTGAAGTAGTTCAAGCCACATGAAAAATCACGTTATTCCAGAGTTGACGTTTCTCACCGGACCATTCTCCTTTTCTCAATTAGCTTGATCGGACTTTTGACCAATCTCATTGACCTCGGCGAACATTTCTCAAATTGATTGAACCGTGAGCCTGGTTATTAGCGGGAAGTTTCGATGTGAGTCTAGATCAACACTAGCCAGTTTCAGCTATGTGAGTGATTGTCCGCGAGGAACTAGATCCCCATAAATGCAGGTCCGTTCATTTTCTAGGGCAGATATCTATGGCTGATAAAATTCCGATAGACAGTCAATCGGTTCCACGGTGTATACTTGAAGAAGACAGACTATCCACTGTGCATGGAGGCTCTAGTTCGTAGGAAGCTCACCAACGCTTCGAAGTGTTGGTGGGGTGCACTAGCAAATTGTGAATATCAGGTATCTTTTGTATGGCAACTACATACAAAAGGTACACATGCACAACATACGCATAACATCGATTTTTCTCAACTTTCAAACTAGCCCTGGAGGTAAAAGAGAAATTGACAAAGACAAGCGAAATTATAACGTACTTCTAGTTCAATCGATCTAAAACTAATATTATTTTAATTATATGTAGAAGTATAATGTAGAAGTGCAGGAGCATCTTAAATAGTATTACAAATATATATTCTAAAACCTGAACCAGTCTCTCGCTTCAAGTAGACTTGATAGTTCTTATCAAGGTTGATAGTAAGTAATTAAGATTTCATTTGAACTATATATATCTTCCTATATTTTTCCTAACTAGTTTGAGGGTTAAGAAAATTGAGGTTATGCAACATGTTACGTTTATGTACAAACCCTGCACATCCGCACCAAAACTGACTGATTTTGAAACCTATTCTCTCAATGAATTTATATGGCAATAATTCTTTAGATAATTTTTTAATAAAAGATCAGTATCAGATTGACAAAACATCTTTTTCTGGATGATCTAACATATGTGGCTGTTAAGTGGTAACTG